GTACCCATCACCCATCACCCAACACCCATTTCCGTTTCCCCCAACCCAAAGCCACTTGCATTCAATAGCGTAATCGTAGTCTGATAGACGTACTCGTGCTCTTGTGTTGTCGGTGGCGGTGCACCCACACCCACACCCACCCGCGGCATTCATCTACTACAGATGTCAGCAATTTCTCGATTTGAATACTCAACAAAAACGAAAGTGGGCAAACAATTCCAACGCGCAAAAAAAAAGACGAGCCGTCGCAAATGGCTTCTCTAACGACCCAATTAATTTGAAACAAGAAGAAAAAAAAAAGAATGTTTGAATTTGGAGTGTGGCAGCAGCAGCAAAGGAAGTTGCACGAAGGGTGGCTGGTGGAACGCCACAGGCCACTAAATGTTAGGTTAGAACCCCACACCCACACCCACACCCACACCCACACCCACGCCCCACTTCTTCGCAGCCCCGAAAGCTTTTTATGCGCACCGCCACAGCTTGAAAAGTTTGCCGACACCGCCGACAGCTTCATTACCAGCCATCATCGGAGCCATCATCATTCTGAGCCCCTGCCTCTGGCTCTGCCTCTGCCTCTCACTCTGCCGCTTCCACACGACTCTGATGCTGCCTGCCCCTGAAGCTTCGGCTGCCGCTACCCATGAGTAATTTGCCAAGCAAAAGTTGATTGTGGCGAGTCGGATTTAAGCCCAGCTGCTGACCGATCTATCTTGAGTCGAGAGTCTGGAGTCACGTCGATCGCATGCCAAAAGCACAGCCACAAAAGAGTCAACAAAATACAGACATGGCCAAGAACAGCCTCATCGTTGCAGCTCTCGCACTGTTGGCCCTCTGCAGTGTCATTCAGGGTAAGTCAACTGAATGCATTTGTTTGCTTTAAATATTAGCACTAAATGTGATTAAACAGATTTATGAGGTGCGGGCGGGGATACATCTGTTTTGAGAATCTCATTTCTATTGTTTGTGGGGCGAGCCGAAACAGGTTTTTCGATGATTTCCCTTGCCGCGCCAGAATCGCCACTGCCTCTGGCTCAGGGGCGTAGTTTGCACAGTTGCACAGGGATCGGTTCGTTGGCGAGACCAAACGACAGAGTTCTTGGCTCGTTAGTCATAATTACGCTTTGCCGTGATTCAAGGCTTCCGGGTGTATGTCATAGCCAAAAGCAAGAGATTAGCCAACTGATAATAAGAACAGCAACGACAACAGCGACAAGCGACAGGCGACAGTAACCGCAACGGCGAAATAATTTAATGGCTTGTAATTAAATGTTTTTTCTTAGCGGCGCCCTATCAGGAACTGGAGCCCCGCAAAGGTCATGTGCCCGTCTACATACGCCACGGGAATGAGCCGCTGAGCGACATTCATCCCGGTCTGGCCGAGGCCTTCAAGGAGGAGGGTCAGTCCAAGGCACTCGCTGCAGAGGTAAGACATAAACATACATAGACTAGCGCTCTCTTTACCATGATTTATTCCACACAGAGTCTGGTCACAGAGATACCCGAAGCGGCAGCCACAAACTCACCAACGACAGGCGCGCCAGAGAGGAGCTCGACAGAGTCGGATATTGCCAGCTTTGAGGCCATCAAAGCCCAGGCAAAGGAGTAATGCAATTGAATAAATACAAAATTGTTGCTAAACTTCTTTAGTTTACAAGTTAATTCCATCAAATAAAACCCCATAGACAAGGCAAACTTTAAGCTCTAGTGATGAAAAGTGTCTCTAAAAGTAATTAAATATTTGTGACAAAAGTGGAAATGGAAACAAAATCAAAGAAGATATTCCAATTTCCCATTAAAGTAAATATATTTCTGTAAAATGTGCATTGGAGCATCTGCCAGCTCAGAGCTTGTGCATCGACTTTCATCACTACTCCTCTGAGTGTCGTGTCTGCCGTGTTTAAATGAATTTCCGACTCAAAGTCAAAGTCGAGTCCCAAGCTCGTTAAGAGCTGCACAAGTTTCACACATTCAATGGAAATTATTTGGGTCCTTTCCTTGGCTGCGTCTCCAATTCCGTCGCCGAAATCGCCTTAGAGCTTTGTGTGTGATTTACTTGTTGGGCCCATTAGGGAGTGGAGCGGGTCAGACGGGGCCAAAGGACAGCAGCAAGTGCAGAGGCAGGAGCGGACAGGAAGTGAAGGGATTCTGGGTGCTGGCTGCTGGCTGCTGCCTGCTGGCTGCTGGAAGCTGTGGCGCAATCGTTTGTAATTAATATAATGGCAACGGCTGTGTGGCAATGACGATGGCAAAGTAAAACTCCAAAATGGCCTACACACGTTGCGGTCTTCGTCTCCGTCTCCGTATCCGTATCCTTGGAGATGTGGTGGTAGCTGGGAGGCAGATGGGTTGGTGCTTGGTGCTTGGGGCTGGTTACGAGTTGAACTGGGGACTGGGTGATTGGGGGGCGATCACAAATTGTTGTTTCATTGTCTCTGTGTCGACGCGAAGGCTGTCTAACGAGCAATAAAACTAAATACATACACATAAAGTTAATTATAAAAGGGCAAAAGGAAATGGAAGCGGCCAGACCATTGAGCCTGTGGATGCAAGTGATGGATTAACCGAAATGGAGCAGCGGCCCCAGCAATCCAATGCGGACTATCTGCAGACGAAATCAGCGAAGAGCGAACCCCAACGAAGGCTGCAATCAAGAGGGCATTAAAAGCAGGATGGAAAAAAAGACCAGAAGAGTAGCTGCGAGAAAAAAAGGCGATGAAAACTATGCGTAGTAAAAGCGAGTAGAGTTTTATGGGGCATCCTCGTTTAAGGAACTGCTCCTGAATTTAAATTCAGCCAGCACACACACACACACACACACACAGATACGAACACCTACACACGTACAGACCGGGGAACGAAAGAAAGACGAACAAACGGACAGACAGACGGACAGAAGGATGGGATGGGATGGGATGGCTTGCTCAGGTCCGCTGTCCGTGTTCTTGTATCATTGTGTGCGTTCGAGCGCATTCAACCTCAAAATGAATAATTGCATATGCTTCAATGATTTGCGACTTTATTCGAACGCCACGGCAAAGCTCTCCACGAGCTGGGCTGCTCACTCGCTGCCAATACTTTAAAGATACTGCCACATCCTTGGCCCCACTCTTTGGTTAAAGGCCAAGAGTTCAATTGCACAAAATAGACAGCAGAGACAGCAGAGGATAGGACACCGTTCCATTTCCATTCCCATTGCTGGCTAATTTGAAAATTGTTCGCTTAATTGCGATGCTGCTCCAACGAGCGCTTAAACAATAATCGAGTTAACGATTATGTGAACGATTATCGCCATTTTTACACCACTGCCAATACTAAGGATTATTGGCTGCCCATTAACAGGAGCTGCAATTCCAATCCCCCCACCATACGACACTCGACTGGGTTGGCTCTTCACTTTATTGGGTATAATGTGCACACATTTGCAGATGTTTTTGCTCCGGGGGCTGCTTCTCGTGCAGATATCAACCCAGTAAATTGCCCAAAAGGCCGCCACCGGTGCCGCCTCCGGTGCCGCCGCCGCCGCCGGTGAGTCCTGGCAGGGAAATTAGATTGCCCAGCAAGGGGTTTCCATTCAAGTTGAGAAGGCAGCTGTCAAAGCATTGCAAAGTTTAGTATATGAAAGAGTTCACCTGGCTAGTGGCAGGAGAGAGCGGGAGAGCGGATGTTGCCACTTACCGCAGATCCAGACGAATGACGTACTGACAGGCCCACTCCCGAAGGCACTGCAAATGCACAGCACACGGCCAGGCTCGATTTGAATATTGCCAATGGATTTGGTTAATCTGCACTTACCCGTAGCGTTTCGGGTGATGGCTTGGGGCAAGTGCCACCAACACCACCACCACCACCACCAGCACCACCACCACCACCACCGCCTAGTAAACCACCTCCACCGCCACCATGCTCCGGACTCTTGACGGGCGTAGGAACAGGCACAGGTACAGGTACAGGCACAGGCACGGGAACTGGAACCTTAATCGGAGCTGGAGGCTGTTCCCAGGGATTCTAGTTACTCAGATATTACAGGATCAAAGAGGATCAAACAGGATCGAGCTTACCGTGTGTGCCGTTGCCAGGGCGATGAAGCCCAGCACAGCCAAAGGTAGCAGCAATTTACTCATATCAGCTGTAGTCAGAAAATAACTATCCACTGATACGGATGCACAGCCTGACAGTCCATTATATAGCCAGTCCACAGATGTTTCAATGACCCACATGGGACAGATCCACCCGCGACAGCGAACAATTGCTGGAGCTATCAATGCACGACCCACATCTGAATGGCTCCAAAATGACTCCCAAGAAAATCGCAAGAATTTTTAAATTCAATTAAAACTGTGTGGAATACTCTTTGGCTGAACGTTTAAATTGTGTAAAATGTAAATTTAACTCGAGAAATCGGAATCTATGGTACAATCATCTGAAGTCTGATTCTGCGAATGGTGAGCCTCGTGGTGAGCCTTCTTTACAACATCCGAATCCTCCAGCAGATGCACGGGCTCGATGCAGCTCTCGTTGGCACACCCAATGAACGGGCAACGGACATACTTCTTGCGCTTGATCACGGCAAAGACGGTTTTCCTTTCGTAGTAATGTTTGCAAATCTTATTCTGGACAGGCTCGACAATAACCCGTGTGGTCCATGGATCCTTGAAAGTTGAAAATGTTTCTGAGACAAACTCGACTTCATCGTCGCTAGACTCAGCTCAACTGTTATTGGTCTAGAAACACTTTCGCCGGACGCACTGCTAAGTGACACACGATCGTGGGATTACAATGCTCTGATTCAGATAATAGTTTTTACCTCATTCTTCTTGATTTTCTTGAAAGAAACTAAACAGCGAACACTTACTCGACAATAAACAAAACGAAACTGAATGCAGCGCATTGAAGTACGAAATGACAGGAAGTATGGATTTCAAAAGCCTCCTTGTGGACAAGCAAAATGAAAGGCAAGGCACTTTGGAATTGATTCTCTATGTGTGTTAGGTATATTTCAATTAATTTGATAATCGTAAATATTTTATTTATTCGTCATGCAAACGATGTACAATTACATAAATAGGTAGGTTCATTTCAATTTCAATTGTTCTGTGGTTGTGTTTTCGTTTGTTTCTGTTTTTGGCAACTAGTTATAACTATGCACATTGCAAGAACTAATTGTACAATAATTCATCTAATAATACCATTCGTGTATAAGAGTAATATGAACGATCGGTTGTTGCTATTTGATTACGATTACGAGTAAGTAGTACAATATCAATATCAATGTCAATATAAATTTTTAAATATAAATATCAATGGTGTGTAATTGAACTGCCATCCAGCATGCAGCAAAGGAGGAGAAACGCACATTCAATCCATTCGTAGCTCTGAACTCTGAACGTTGCCGTTGCCGTTGCCGTTTCCATTGTACAGGTAGGTGATTTCTAATCATTTTCTATTACACTTGAACTTGAACTTGACTTGACTTTTGAGCCCTCTGTTTATGCATTATTTTAGTATATATTATTTAAATATAGTTTTGTATGTATTGTTGTATTCGGGGTGTTCATTGCAAGAGACAAAATACTCGCTAAGAATCTTGAAAACAATCCTGAAAGTGCTGCTCTTCTATCAGTGCAAATGGGCGGCCACCTTCTTGCAGTTGCACAGCCACTTGATGATTCGCGCATTCCGCTCCACAATCGACGGCGGTTCCGAGGGTCGATAGGTCTGTGTGGTCTGCGGCTGTGTCTCGGTGCTGTCCGGCAGCCGCATCGAGTCCACGGTGCTCACGTCCGAGAAGAACACCGTGCTGGAGTCATCGGAATCGGTCTCTGGATTGTGCTGCCTGCGCGGCTGACTGTAGATCTCGTGGAACGCCTCATCGTTGAGGCCCAGCCGATCGAAGAACTTCTCCAGCTCCGAGATGCTGGCATTCAGCGCCTCGCGCTCCATCTCCATGCTGTGGGCGCTGGCATAGCTGGCATCTGCCGAGAAACCTTTGGGAAAGAACACATTCTCGTGATCCACGCTTCCCCGATGCTGCTTGTAGGCAGCCAAAATACCGACACTGGGTCCGCCCATCTCCACGCCGCTGCTGTTGATGGGCGATGTGCGCGGCTGGGGCTGCACCGGCAGTCGGTTGCGGTTCTTGAAGCGGATGCAGCGCTGCCGCTTGAACTGAATGGGCGGTGGACTTATGTCGTCCACGGAGGGCGCCGAGCCGGGACTCTGCACCAGGGAGCTCTGCGAGTGATTGATGCTCGTGTAGCCCTGCGAGCTGGTGTGCAGCTGCTGGCTGGAGGAGCTCGAGTAGCGCGGCGTCTGCGTCTTCATCCTCGGCGATGGCGGTGTGGGTGTGTAGTCATCCTGGAAGGCCTCCGGCACCTCTGGCGTGGGCGTAAAGTTGATCAAGTAGTCCGAGGCAGCCGCATTGTCATAGCCACTCAATGGCGCCGTGTCCTGCTTGCAGCGGCAGTCGATGCACTCGGTGTTTCGGCCATTCAGCGACGGATAGTCCGCACCCGGCGTCACGTAGCCGCAGTAGGAGTTTGCACTGTGCTGCGTCGAGGAGCCGCTGTCGCGCCGCGTGGCCGCCACCAGGGTGCAGCAGTTCTTGATTGTGCCACTGGCCGTGCCCACATTGGGCTCCCGCTGCCGTTCGCGCTTGTAGCAGGGCTCGCTGCGGTGCGTGTAGTGGCCGGAGCTGCCGCCCGAGTCGCGATTGATGGAGGACTCGCCGGCAGACTTGATGGAGCGATTGCCACGACTGCAGCAGCTCAGTATCTCGCTGTGCGGCGAGTGCCGACTGATCTGCGTGTGCAGATCCGGCAGTGACTTGTGGCTGTTGATGTTGAAGTCCCCGCCAGCGTACGGAGTTCGCTCCTCCGGCGCATGGGGCACCTCGTGCGAGTGCGAATAGGAACGCTGGTAGTTGTACCTGTAAATGCAGTAAATCTGAGTATAAATTCGACCTCTGCCATGGCTCTCGACTCACCTGTAGCGATCGTTGTGGGCTTGTCCCGACTTGGCAGCATACTCGGCCGGCGGACTGATTGGTCTGTAGTTCTCGGTTAGCACGAGCGGCTCCTCGCCGCCGCTGTTGTACGCGGATGAGTCCCGCCCATAGCCGTGCGATGGTATGTAGAGGGGTGGGGGTATCCTCAGGGCACCGCCTGGCCCTGCGCCGCCCTCGTCCTCCCCATAGTCGGTAGGCAGCAGCTCGGCACTGCCGTCGTTCAGTTCGTGCCGCCGCAAGGTGCCGCCATTTCTCTCCTTGACGGCCTCCGAGCCGAGCAGCATGCGCAGCTTCTGCTGCAGCAGATTGTTATTGACAGCAGCGCCCCCGCCCCCAGCACGACCATGGGCCTGGCCATGACCGTGCCCATGGCGATTGTGGTGGTGCTGCTGCTGCTGATGCGGATGATGGTTGTGCATGTACTGCTGGGCCTGCTGCAGCTGCTGCTGCTGGTGCTGTTGCTGGCGGGACAGGCTCATGTATCGGCGGTCCTCCAGCTCGTCGTATGCCTGGGAGTTGTAGTGACCACCGCCATGGCCGTGACCGTGCGCCTCCTCCGGGCGTCGACCCCGCTTGGAGCCGGCAGCATTGTTGCCGCCGTTCCGATAGCTCGACTGCTGCAGCCGCTCGAAGACCGCATCCGACTTGATGTAGAACGGCTTGGACTCGGCCAACAGTTCCACCGCAGACTTGCGCTTGCTGTAGTGCCTGCCGCCGTGATAGAAGGCGGCATGATGGCCCCAATAGCTCCGACTTGCAGCTGCCGTTTCCGGCAGCGCAGATGCTGACAACGGACGCTGGCCGGAGGACATGTAGATGGGCCCGTTGCCGTACGCACCATCGCTGGGCATGCTCACGCCCATGCCGCTGCCAAATATCTGCTGGCTGGTCGCGTACAGCGTCTGGCTGGCCGTCCGCGAATACTTGGGCACGGTGGTGTACATGGCAGGGCCCGACGAGGGCGTGGACCCGTGATGGGCGCCCGGCGAGCTGCTGCCATTGCAGGAGCGCTGCCGGGGACTGCTACAGCCATGGACCACTGCGGCCATTCCCAGGCAAACGTAGCAATCCGCGTGGCCTCCACTGGCAGGCAGCCTTGAGCTCTCTCACAAGGTGTCACTGTTGCTGTCACCTGCTGCTGTCTCCTCCTCCTCCTCTGCCACTGCCTCTGCTTCTGCTGCTGCTGCTGCGTCTCGGCCTCCACTGGGTTGAGACTCCGACGGGGGCTGGGGCATGCGCAGTTGTAGGCGTGATGCGTATACTGAAATTACAATACATTAATTTTCAGCTCAGCCCCAGTCTTGCACTGCACTGCTCTCAGACCCAACCAAAAACCAAGCCAAAAATGAGGACTCGACATGCACTTAGAGACCCGGAGACAAGCGCTGGCATGGCTGTCTTCCACTCTAGCTGGCGTGCCTTTGGTCTATTTACCTGCGGGTTATTTATAGATACCCCAGATTTGGTTTTATCCTCAGCAGACTTTTCACTCTGCTAAGCAATTCGTAGGCCACCACCAATCCTCAACTCACTTTCTGTTCACACTTTGTCAGCACTTTAGTGGGCTAAGCTTTGAATTCTTGGAAGAAAACACTTAAAAACACGAAAAACTCACCAGGCAATACGAAAATTCCTTCAGTCTCGGCCTGCGACGGTTGCAAGGTCCACTACATTGTGCCTCTTTGAATAACAGATGTTGTACCACTTCCACGCGTTCCGTTCCCACAGCCAAAGCACAATCATGCGCCCAGCAAGAGAACAGAAGCCTAAAGCTGAAGCTGGTCCATGCTTTTGCTAGATGCGGCATTTGTGGGGTAAATGGAGAGACTCCATGCACTGAAGTGCTGCATATCAACAGCTTAGATGTAGTCATTACTGAACCAGGGAAACCATTGCGAAATTAATCAATTTTCAATTAAACACATAATTACCTCATAAAATCATCTTTATGCGCAGCGTGTGGACACTGCAAAGCCAAACCCTGTTGAAAATATCACAAAGAGCGCACACTTAAATAACCGTTGGAAAGCTCACTCAAAGCCACTAGGAACTTTTGAAAGCGACAAAAGCTTTGGCCAGAACTTTAGCAGCACAAAACACATGAACACGCTCAACAGCAAGCTGCGACGGCAATCATTCCTATTCTAACGCTGCTTCCGAGATGTCCGCTGGAAAAATCCCGTACGTTAAGCACAACAACGGCACACAGATCCAAGCCATTGGACTGGGAACCTACACGGTAAGTGTAATGTATAAAGTGGGCTGGGCCCACGTCAACGGTGATCCGTCTCCACTAACGATCAGTGCACTAACAACGCTTATCGGTCGAGAGCGAGCGCAGATGCCAAAGGCGTACAGTTGTATATCTCACTTTTAAATGACTTTCCAATTGTCCGGCAGTCGTTGGGTGGCGATTGCGAGCGCGCAACGTTGCATGCCATAGATGTGGGCTACCGACACATAGACACCGCCTTCTTCTACGAGAACGAGAATGAGGTGGGCGCGGCCGTCAACAAGAAGATAGCCGAGGGTGTCATCAAGCGCGAGGACATACACATCACCACAAAAGTAGGTATCCTTTGCATACAGTGGGTGTTACAGTTTAACCCAAATTGACACTGACTTTTTCTCTAGCTTTGGTGCCACTTCCATGAGCCGGAGAGGGTGGAGTATGCCTGCCGCAAGACTCTGCAGAACTTTGGCCTGGAGCACGTGGACCTGTACCTGATGCACTGGCCCTACTCCTACGTCTATCGCGGCGACAACGAAATGATGCCCACAGATGCCAAGGGCGAGGTTGAACTGAAGTAAGATTTGGTTATATCAAAACATATCCTGAGGTTGGCACTTACCCTCACTTCTTTGTTACAGCGACATTGATTATCTGGACACCTGGCGTGCCATGGAAAAGCTGGTGGAGCTGGGCCTCACCAAAAGCATCGGCGTCTCCAATTTCAATTCGGAGCAATTGACGCGCCTGCTGGCCAACTGCAAAATCAAGCCAATCCACAATCAGGTGAGTCGCTTGCGGTTGGGCGGTTGGATAACACTTACTGAAACACAACCACATCTGCCTGCACAGATCGAATGTCATCCCGCACTGAACCAGAAGAAGCTAACGGCTCTGTGCAAGCAGCACGGCATTGTGGTCACCGCTTACTGCCCGCTGGGCAGGCCCGATCCGGCAAAGAAGACGCCCAACTACATCTACGACGCCAAGGTGCAGGCCATTGGAGATAAGTACAAGAAGTCCACGGCACAGGTGGTGCTCCGCTATCTGGTACGTACTCGTATTTCCCCAGACATGCAACAGCTGATTCTGATTTCCTTTCTGCCCTTCCACAGATTGAAATTGGCACTGTGCCGCTGCCCAAGTCCTCCAATCCGAAGCGCATTGAGGAGAACTTTAACATCTTTGATTTCAAATTGGATGCCGCTGACCATGCCGTCCTGGACACATACAACACTGGCGAGCGTCTCATTCCTATGGAGCATGCCATTAAGAGCAAGAACTACCCCTTCAATATTGAGTTTTAAGCTGAAAAATCATTTAAATTGTTGATATTAAACTGTTAACTAAAGATTGATATACTAACACATATACTTAAACACGCCACAGCCTTATCATTTTAGTGATCGCAAGTTAAACTTGCCAACGAGAGAGAGAGCTTTTCGGCCAGACTTCCGTGCTCTGAAAATAAACCAAAACGGGATGGAAATTTCCACTCAATCAAACACACCACCCCATGCCCACACACGTGCTGGTATTTATTTAAACACAGACAGTCTGATGGACTTGTCTAATATCAAATACAAACACACCACCATTATGTATTAGTAAAACTTAAGCAAAAAAGAAACAATTTTCTGATTTTGTTTTTTTCACATTCTTGGCGCCCCAGCAATCAGCTGATAGTGTGGCCAACTATAAGTAGTTGTCAGAGCGCTGCCAGACTGGTGGATAAGGCTGGTCCATCAGCTGTTCGCAACAACAAACAACAACAATTTAATAAACAGAAATTTCACAACAAATCACATCATGTCCTGAAACACCACATCACTGCACTGAACATTACGTGGACGTGGAAACCAAAGCGGTGTAGATAGATAGAGTCATCCGTCCATTCCGTCCAAGTCTGCCTACCCAAAACCCCAAATCAAAGTAGAGCAACGACTCCCGGCTGAGGCTGCACTGACAACAACACGAACAAACCTCAAACAATCGATGCCCCACTGCCACATAATGGTCTATATGCGAATTGTGCTGACAACCTTGGTGACCGTCACGTGCCTGCTGGGGGATAACTTCGTGGAGCTGACCCAGCATCCGCTGCTGAAGGCCCTGGCGGACAATGCAACGCACGCGGCCATCGGCGCCCTCACCGGCATCGCCTTTTCGATGCAATTCTACGAGCGGACCACGCAACTTTTCGGCTGGATATTGATTTTCACCTGTTTCGTTGTGTCATCGTTCATTGACTTGGATCACTTTGTGGAGGCCCGTTCGCTGTACCTGGAGGTGAGTGGCCACCCAAAGGGCAAACTCTTTGATTGAATTTCGTTTGTTCCTTGCAGGATGCCACCAACCTGTCGCGTCGTCCGTTCCTACACTGCTCCAGCATCATTCTGGTCATGTTGCTGTTCTACATGTGCACCGCGTGCCTGAACTACTTCCGCACCAGCCTGCTCCTGGGCGCACTGCTCTGTGCCTTCATCACACATCATACGCGTGACGCTGTGCGTCGCGGCTACTGGATGTGTCCCATGGGACACACGGATCGCGTGCCGCAGGTGGCCTACATCCTAATCACGATCATGACGCCCCATCTGCTGGGCTGTCTGCACGCCCTCTGCCGCAGCGTTTTGGTGCTCAACTTTTTGGGGCAATACGTGAAACTAAGCGAATGCAATTACCGCGGTGGACCCGGGTCGGGGTCGGGCTGTTCGAATGCCAACTATCGGTATATGCAGGTGTAAGGGGATTAGGGGAAACCTTTGTGATACGACAACGTAATGCGAAATCATCGAATGGTGAAGGCAAATGCTTTGTAGGCTTCAAGCGCATTAGAGATTAGCTTTAACATTGGATCAGCTAGAAACCAAATACTTCCACACTACAGGACACAATTTTAGACACAACTACAATTAGTTTTTATTCGAGTACCTTTTGGGGAATTCATTGATTCCCGTCCAATTGATATTATGATATACTTTTTGTCCATTAACTAGCGTAGGTTTTTACTAGACTCTAAATACAGATAATATCCGAATTGTGATATTTAGTTGATAGTGAAAAAAATAGTGTAACGACGAGCATAGCGCACAACAAATCAATTTTCCACTTCCAATCTTGACTTTGTATCCGTAGCAGGCAGGCTCTAGTATTATGTATTTAAGCCATTTTAATCTAATAAATCCAAATAATTGCCTTAAACTAAACCGCTGTCTCATCAGGCTTCGAATCACGGCCAACCGAACCATTAATCCTATTGATTTCTGCTCACCTCAGCTCATAGTTTCTCTGTGTGTGTGCTTCTGGCGGCCCAAATTAGTTGCCATTTACAAATTGGCCGGTGCCAAGTGCAAAAGGTCTTAATGGATGGATGGATGGCTGCTCTCCCAGCGAAAAAACCATCATAAATAGCACTGTTTGTACTTTTACCGCAACTGTTGGCTCCTCGAATGAGTCGAGTCGTTGGCTATTTTTATAGAGTTTAATTTTAAATGTTTTCCATTATAAATAGTTTACAGTTCGATTGAAAAACTGCCCATTAGACAGACAAATAAGCGGTTTTTGCGGAATATTCCTACGCCTTTCAATGGAAAATCATTTGCGATAAATAAGTGATTAAATTGACATAACATGTGTGAACGCGTCTTCATTTAAGACAATGACTAAAACGTACACAAAAACATTGCCAGATCAGCACGAAATCCCACGCTACGGTACTTTCCAATAAACGGTACAGAGCAAGAGAAGTCTGCTAGTGCCACCCACATCACGGATTTGTTTGGCATGCAAATGATCATCTCGTTTAGGACCGTGTCGCTTGTGGACTTTTATTTATGTGATTGGCGTGGCGTCTAACCGATCATTCGCATGTGGTGGATATTGTCGCGTTGGGAGCTGACAAGTCGAAGAGACAACCGCAAATTTGTGAGCAGTACAAAAAGTGTCTGCGAGGCGGCAACACAACGGTACAGCTGCAAAAAAAAGGGGCCAATTGCTGTCCCACTCTCTCCTCGCGCTCTCCAAGTTTCGTGGCTCTCCCTCGTGCGTGTCTGTGCGTGTCTTTGCGTTGTTCAAAATTGCGGAACAAGAGGATAACAGTACAAATCCGCTCGCCGTAAGTGTGTGCATTATTGTAGGGTAGATTGCCAGTTTAGTTGCCTGCAAATCGCTTTGCTATGGCAACGCTCCAGCCGCCTTTTGACCTTGAATGCTTTTCATGCTTCGCTTGGCAGCAATAGCAATTCATTTGAATGTTGTAGCATCTCCGATGATATCACTTCAACAGCCATTAAGGCCGGAATTAAGTGTGACATTTCCAACTAGCCAAGTATCGCTCAAGCGTTTCCATAGTCATCAACAGCCCGTTAAAGCGATCTTTGTAAATGATTCCCAGAGAAAAGCACGATCAAAATACAATAATTCGTTTTGTGAACGTTTCATAATACTTAGCTGGCACGATCATAACTTGCACGGCGGGCATAGAAAAATATATATACGATATATGGTTTAAAAATAAACATTGTAAATATTTACATTGGAAATCCATGAGGAGGCGCATAAAGGCTAAAGAGCAAAATGATTTTTCGCTAGCGGGAAAATTCCCTTTTCACTGATTAACGCGTGGCAAAATTTAATACACATATTTGCCGAGAAATATTCCTATAAATAAATAAGCTAAAAAAGCTGTCCGACGCTTTTATGAACTGAACTGATAATGTGATCGTAAACACTCCAAACCGAATGAAACCGAATCGGTTTCTGGTTTCCTCCGGTTGCAGGAGGATGTCTGGGTTTTCCATTGAGAGAAAGTCATTCACTGATCCCTTCACTGATCGATAACTCACCAAACGAAACGTTGATTGATGCAACCCCAAAAGCCTGTCACTCCCTCGAATTGAGTTGTACTCGTAATTCATGTTGTTGGAGCTTCCCTGCAATGCCAGAGAAGAACAACCCCACTCACCCTTTTGCCAGAGTGTGAGCAAATGTGTCAGCTTTAGACGCCTTACCTGCACCGCTTGAACGGTCCACGACAGCTGCCTAATTAAAATTATCAAAGATGCTCTGTCTGTGTTGCCGTTGCCAAGTTTCCTGGGGCCGGAGTGTTTGTCAATCGTTAAAAATAAACCATACGCAGTGTGGCACACGAACGCACTTGCAATGCTGTGCAACCGGGTTGAATGACACGATACTGTGCGTTCGACTAAATATAACCTTTGCTGCCTGCCTGCCTGCCTACACCTCAAGCTGATTATTTGCCTAGAAACAAAATTTCTACTTGCTTAGAGCAACAAATGTTTGCCAAACCTTCTTTTGCCGAGCTCCGATGGCACTAATATTTATTTAGATACCTAAAATCCGCAGCGTCACAAGATCCAAATGCGATGCCGGCTAAGCTTGTTGACAATGCGCGAGAACAGGCTAAGAAATCGTTGAAAATAAATCAACAAAAATTCAAATTAACAAAATGGCAATCCCCCAGAACGAGGCAAGATTTCAAAATTTCGGTGCCGTCAGATCTCCGAGAGAGGCGCTCTCTCTCCGAACTTTTCACTGTTCATTTTTTGGCAGCTTTTCGTGCTCGTTGGAGCGCCGCAGACTGTTCAATATTGTTTGGGATTCCGTGGCGAGACGATCGTCGACAGTGCCGCGCGCGCATCGACATCGAGTCAGTAAATTAAATACAAGAAATTCCAAAGCGACAAATATACATTTACTGCGCACAAACAAAAAAGCAAACAAGACATTAATAATCGCCGAAGGATTTTATTTATCTAAAATATTATCAGAAATTCTTGGAGTTCAGTTGAAAAGTTAATCAAAATACCTACAAAAGTGTGTGAACAGAGCCGACAAGCGAAAATAAATACATTTAAAGCCGCTTTAGGTGCCATTTAAGTAAATAAGCGATAAATAACAAGCACAGAAACTAGGCCAAAAGCGGCACCCACCCACACCAGGCAGAAAATCACACACACGCCACAGAGCACACCAGCCACCGGCACACCAAAACAACACTCACTTGCTGTACGCTTTGCTTGCGAGTAGCTCCTCCACATCTCCGGCTTTATCGATATTGAATGAGCCCCATGAGTGGTCTACGTCATCAGCTGAAGGTGAGTACTCACTGCACCCTTGAACCTTGTAGATAGATCCATTGAATGCCACACACCACACCACACCGAACCGATCTCGCATTTATCTAAATATTTGCTTAATCGCTTTCGTTCTCCGCCTGTCAGGTGCTAAAGCTGCCTCCCATGCACACACCACAATCTGTTTATTTCCTTTATTAGTGGCAAATATTAATATTTGTTGCTCTCTGCGCGCTGGCTATAAATAAATTGCAATAATAACAATATTATTTAGTAAATTTAAGTTGCGAGTGAGAGTATTACATCGTCTGAAGTCAGTCGGACGTTTCCATTACTTCGCCTGCGGACTGCAATGAAACCGGGAACTGAGCTTTTTTCTTTACTTCTAATACTAAGTTGGTTGTTAGTTCTAGGGCTGCTTCGTGCTCCGTGACACGAATTCCAATAACTACTCCGTACAATTCTTCTCCGATGCGGCCATAGCGTTCAAGATAGTTGTCCAAGCGATCGGGAGGATCGGTCACTGATTTCACGATCGGAGCACAAATCCTAATCAATCGAGACCAGATCTTCTTTATGGCTCCCTGCTCAAAGCGGGGGTGCTTGTCTCCAGCGTACAGCAGTTCCGATAACTTGGATAGTTCAGGCAGCAAATAGGTTTCTACGACACAACTTCCCAATTGGCCAAAGCCAATGACGGCACCATAAATCGTTAATAAATGTTCGTGATTGCAGAGGCCCATACTTAAAATTCTGCAATGCATGCAAACTAAATTATGCACAAGGGGGAGCAAGGAGCGAGGAGCGTGTCCGTGTCAGTGGCTCACCTAATAATTCGATCGAGCAGATTGTAGTTCTTGTCGACTCGCACAATATCGCCCATCAATTCACTTGCTATTTCCCGCAGCTGCCAGTGTACCTCATCGCCCTCAACGTCAACCCTTTCGAATTCGTGCTGAATGAGAATGCACGAGAGTATGCCGGGTAGAATGAAATAGAACTGCAAATGCAAGACAATAATCATTAATTAGTCACTGATTGCACTCGATATGCACCACTCACACTTTGGTCAAAGGAGATGCTTTTATTCTTGGCCAGAGCTGTTGCCATATGAATCACAGTGAAGCACACAGCTATATCGTTATCACAGAAACCGCGCTTGATGCTGTTCATCATGCTCGTGATCAACTGGGGCAGTATAGCCTCTAGACTTGGATCTACTTCCATTGACTTGATCGCCTTGGCGCGCACATCCTCGTGCGATTCAAAGCAGGCTGCCATGACTTTCTTGTAGAAGTCCTGCTGCTCCTTGGTGAGCGGAAATTTATTGGGTGGCTGTATTTTCTCTGCCTCCTCTCCTTGCCAGCCAGTAATGCTGGCAGCTGTCTCCGCCGTGGCAGGAGCTTGCCCCTGCCCGCCCATTCCAGGAAAAGGATAAGCCTGATCGAGCTGAAAACCCATATCATTGGCATAGTCGGCGTCATCTTTGAGTGCATTGCGAACGTCTTCCTCCGTTATCTGATCGCTGCGGTTGTGATATGCATATGCCTCGATAGTCTCCAGCATTCCAAAAACATCTCTGCTCATGTCCTGGGCAATAGCTTGAGCCACTTCATCGCTGAGATCCCCGCCTGTGGCCGTCTTGTAAATGGCTCTCATTGTTGTGGCCGAAAGCAATAACTCTCTGATATCATCTGCTCCGCTGCCTGTCATGTTTCGCTACTGAAGACCTTTTGGAAATGGAAAAGATTTAAAAACTAAAAGAAGATTTTTGCTTAGGCTCGGCGGACAGCAGCGCGCAGACTTACCTGGAAAAAGCAATTCAATTTGATTGGATCAGCCGTTCGTTCTGCGTTCAAGTTCCCTCTGGAATCAGAATTTTCATAAGTTTCATAAGTTCTCTGACTTCTATCGGGACTTTTTTCAACAATAAAGCAACAAAATTCACAAGTAAAAATGTACTTTTTTGAGAGCTGATGGCTGTGATGTGGTTTGCACATTGAAAATGGAAAACTGAATGACTAAAAGGTCTAGCTCCTGTCGGAAGTTAACTTTACGCACAGCCAACTTCGCATGATTTGATGACAATCAACAGAGTTGCCAACTAGTTCAGTTACAATCAGATATTAGAGGTATTCTTGCAAGAGAATATGATGTGTGATTTGTGTTTATTTATCTACTTTACTCTTTTGTATAGGTTTCATCTACAAGTATCTTTCATTGTGGGCACAAGGGTTAAGTTTCAAAGCAACAAAGTTTCACCTTTCCTCCGTTATAGTCAATTGTTTGAAATGTAAGCAAACAAGCAAATGGGGAATAACTAAAAACTTGCCAACGATAAACGCCGCTCAAGTCGTTCGACAACATTACAGACCATTTCACCCATGGGGGCCGGGCCATAAAACGCGTCTCTGTCGCATCGCAGCCAATAACATTGTAGCCAGAACACATCATTAAAGTGCACAGACAGCCACACATCTATGTATGGGATATACACACACATATGTCTATATATAGTTGGGCTGTTGGCAAATTGGCTTTTTGTGTTCGCGTTGTCGTGACGGAGTCGAGAGACCCGGGACTCATTACGGCATAGGAGATGGCCCATAGTGGTCCAGCTTAATGTCCAAGTCTTTGGGCATTCGAAATGCGTTTCAATGCTGTTCATCGCACTAAAAAGTTGATTGTTTATCGGAATATATAGATGTATATATACGCTCCCAATCTAAACACTGGCAAATTATTAACTTTTCTCTCGATTTTGTATATTTGAAATTCATGCAACAAATTATGAAGGATATTAGCCAGGGAAAATATTTATTAGTAGGTAGATACTTATGTTCATTCAGGGCTAACAAGACCATCAAAATGTTGACAAACAAGACGCAGAATTTATGCTGCTGGCAAGGCACAAAAAAGTGATTATAGAATTTATACACATATGTATACAAAATACGAACAGAAAGCTGCTAAATTGTAGTGGAAAAGTGTCAACAAGACATGCCATTAAGCGAGTATTTTAGATGTCAGTCTTTGTGTGAATTTATTTATTTGTTTCCAGTTTATGCCATGTGGCACGTGAGCTGTGCCTGAATCATTATTTGATCAACTGTTGTATGTGGGGTCGGAGGTAACTGACCTGGGCCAAGGCTTTACACAGTTGCCGTTCGAACCCTGAGAGCATCTGCTGCATAATAATTACCAAAATGTTTATTTTATTCAGCTTTAGTTCGATAAAAAGATGAACTTAGCAAGCAATAAAGGAAGTAAAGCACAAAACATTTAATGCCAGTAGACATTTAGCTATCCTTTTCGCCTAAAACAACCCACCAATGGATATTTCTGCACCTTAAATTCACTTAAAATATAACCAAAATTGAAAACAAAACAAAATAAATCGTGACACGAAATAAACAAATTCAGACATGATTGAATTAAGCGCTAATCGATTTTCGTTTCATTTCACTGAGCCAAAAATAAATCAGAATTTGCAATGTGCCTCCACATGGGCAACTCTTTCATATTTAAATCTGAAATTGAATTATACACAAATATATACTCAGTATTTTGGCAATTTATACTTATGAATGTTTATTTTTAGCGCACTCGTTGTGGCCGAAATACTTGCAAAACAATGGATAATTACAAAAACATTTCCCCCAAAGACCCACAATTAATTAACTTGTACATAAGCTAGCCCCATCCGAGTGATCTCTACTGCAGTTGCAATTCTCTGGGGTCTTTGTTGCACGAATGCTAGGAATCCCTTGTTCCCAAATTGAATATAAGTAGATTGGGTGCTAAATAACAACGTAATAATCAAAATCTCTCTTAGTCTTTTAGTATACGATGTAAAAGAAAAACACAAATAGCTTCACCTGCCTGCCCCATGTCGTACCTTGCCATCCCTGCATCCCGCAGCCAAGACTTTTCAGCTCAAAACTATGCAACACTTTTGCTCCCCCAACTCAACTAACATTTTCTCTTGAGTGTATTTTTAATATGTATTTTTTTGTGTGTTTATTTTACAGATGCTGGGCACAGCACTGCTGGGCAAGCGAGCCACCAAGGTAAACGCAATATAATGCCGAAAAAATCGTCTTCTTTGGTTCTTAATCTATTTGATTTTTACTTTCGTTTTGCAGGCTGTCAAAAAGAAACCTTTTACAGAGGTGGAAATTACAGGTAAGTCAACGAAAATCAACAATAAAATTAAATGTTTAAGCAAAAACAAAGAGAGTAGGAAGCAGTGACCTCTGATGTTAAGTCGCGAACAGAATTGTGGTTTATACAGCTTATAATTGATGGCGAATAAGGCTCGTACACGTAATCTGCTTACAGAACATCGAACTGCAATGTTGTGTACAAATTTAGACTGGCCTAAATGCTGGCCGCCTTTTTCATGTTTTGCTAAAAATATAATTCGAAGTGTGCAGCTGATATAATTTTAGGTCCCGAGCTGCCGATCGGGACGGTACGGGACAGGTGCACTGGCACATTAAGATAGATGGATATTTCGAGCCGTGTACACTCTTTGAGGTGTTTTTATAACTATTTTGGCTTTCTAAAAACAACAAACGACTGCAGAAATGCGGCTATAATCTAATCGTGATAGCCATAATCGACGTGAAGTTTAATTAACGCGCGCCTCCTTCTTTTTGGGACCACATAGGTGGTGGCCATTACTACGAATGAAGGCAGCAGTTGAGGCGGAGTTGGAGATAGCTGACACCCGCACATCACGTGACCCATTAGCGGGGAAATAAAAGGCACGAGTATAGAAAACAAAGATGCAGATACTTGCCATACAGCTGCCGATTATTATTGTGCAAAATAAAGCACGCTCATGGCTATAGACATTTATCGCGAATCAGATAAGATGCTCTTGGTTCCTGGCCAACACATTTCTTGGATGACAGGCAAAATGAATCTCGGGCAAAAGTGATCATATTTAAATCACTTTGGACACTTTCACATGACACTGCCCTGTCAGACTGTTAATATCCAAGTAGCTGATGTGAGTCACTGCTGGACTGGATTTTATGGCTGTGTTGATCTGATAAAATCGTATTAATGTGGAAAGGTATAACCTTTTTAGGTGAAAGATGCAAAACCATTTGATGGTACTTTCCATACTCAACAAACAAGACCCAAGCCATCTGTTTTATCTATTATTATACGCCAGTTTTCTTTTGCTATCTTCATCTTTCTCTCTCAAAGCATAATCGGCATATTGTAGGGTACCAACAGTATGACTCTCTCTCCTAAAGCCTATCCCTCTCATATCGTTTGGGTAGTAAATATTATCACCTGTTCATTAATAATAATAATTTATCAATCATACCATAAAATGTGTTATTGCTTTTTTAGCATTACTAGTGGAAAATTATAGAAGTACTACATATCTCATATGAAAACCAAGACAAACCCATTCAACGCTTTTGGTTTTGAGGCTAAGGCCCCTCTCAAAGTGTTGTCTGTCGTTCAACAATGTGACAACAGTGAAATCTGCGATAAGAACTCGAATAAGAACAATTAATAAGAGCAAATAGTGCACATGCCCGTATTACTGTATTACGCCATATAGAAATCAGACAACTGCTTGACTTGGCCCATCCCAGACCCCCTCGGGCCCATCTCAACAACGCTCCCACCCAGATTTGGGTGCTGCCATCAGCTGATAACTGATAAGCGAGTTATCTGAAATGAAATATAATACAATATAGTAGTAGCACAGACACATGGGCACACCCAGATACAAAGAGAGAGAGAGAAGGGAACCCTAGCAAAAGTCGGTTCATTCCAGTCATTCATTATCTTGGAGTTTTCGTAGATAAATCGTGCGGCAAGCGGTAAGCGTTGGCACTCGTGCAGCATTTCGAGCCTTAACCAGAGTATTGTCAGACTATACAGCGGTTAGAAGTGTTTCTTCCCGAGTGTCTCTTCAGCCTTGATTGATCGCAGTCATCCCTTACGATCCATCAGCACTCCACTGGAAACCAAATTAGCGTCTATTGGAAATATGAGCAAAGATGATAAGTGTGAGTATTGGCCAAAAGCACTTCCGAGCCGTGTGCCGCGAGCCGTAAACTTGAAAGCGAACTTTAGACGTACTATCGGTCGAGCGGCTATCGATACCACCGATTGTGTTGATTACAGCACAGCCAAAAATTGCTAATTTGTCACCGAGGCACAGAGGTGACAGCAAATCCACTTTGGGAGACAGAGCGACATCAATTTGTCGACACACTTGTAAAACTAATTAAACGTTTGTCACCAGCCACGTATGTCGCTCTCTTCCTCCCGCTCTCTTCCTTCCGCTCTCTTCCCCCCGCTCTCTTACTCTCTCTCTCTCTCACTCTCTCTTTCTGACACTTATCGCTTGACAATTTATCTCCGTTTGCGTGCGTGTCTGTGCGTGTCTCTGTGCATGTGTGACTTTGGCAAGTGGGCGTTGGGCGTTGGGATATGGGCGGTGGGCCTGGCAGTTAATTTGTTGCCGCTTTCCTTTCTCCGCTGATGAAGGATGACAGACAGCGGCCGCCACAATATTCTACGCTTTTCCTTTTTCAATTTTTTGTTTTGTTTTTTTTTGTTTTTGATTTATGGTTGCGCCACTCTGGCGGTTTTTTATTCCTATGCCACAAAGTGCTCGAGCTTGACACTCGAGCTGCGTTATGAAAGGCATCCCAATTAGCCGGAAAATATGCGAAGGAGACTTCGAAAAATGAGACAGTTTGGTGGCTATAAAGTTTCCATCGAACTTTAAATGTCACGGAATACAAAGAATTCAGGCTACTGCTGGCTACCATAAAGTTAAAATATTTTCATTCAGCATTTAGCTCTTTATTAGCACTTGAATTTTCAGGATTAAATTTAAATTTAAAGTATAAATTTATATGCAAGAGTTAAATTTGGTCACGTAAATGGATTGAATATCAAAATGAAACGAAACCAGTCATTTTATTTGATGTCTGCTTACGAGTTTGTGCGTGACTCTGCAGTACTCCTAACTCCTACTACTCCATTGCACTCCTGCAACCCACTTGCACCCCCCTCGCCTTATATTTTGTATATTCAAACCATTCACCCGGCACGTTTTGGGTTTGAAATATTTTGATGATGGCAGCGGCATCGGCCGGGGATTGATTTTTGAATATTAATGCAGGTCCTTGAAGCAGCGGAGGCTGCACTTTCATAGAGTGGGTGGGAACACTCGATACAGTTGAGTAGCGTCAAAGCTCTTGACAAAAAGCATAAAAGAAAATATGGTTGAGTGAAAACGCATCTCTAAATGGCCATCGCATCGTAAATATCAAATTTATGGTGCACTTTTTCCCACTTAAAGCGTGAAAATCGAAAAGCAACTCCTGAAGAAAGAGAGAGTTAGGGATTGTGACTGGGTATTAGGCAATAAAATCCGGGCACTGGCGCCCACCGGGTGGGTGGCATGGCCTCTGGCCTGGGCACGTGACCTCATTATTCCGAACCGAGCCGGGCCGAGCCCCCTGCTATACTTTATTCCAAACACAATTTACGCCTTAATCTGGTCTGTGAAAGTTCTTATTGCGACGTATTTTGTGTTTAGCCCTGCACTAGAGTTTTATATATTGAGAGCTCGATGCGGAATTAGTTTATTGTTTGGTTTTTGGCTTGCATTTTCTGCTGTTCTCTCTTTTGTTCTACAAACTTTGAACAATTAATTTTCATTAAAAAGTTGGTGTACAATGAGGTTGGAATACAGGAATACAACGAAGACAAGGGCGGACAGGCCTCTTTTAACGGATTACAACTCATTTGTCCGAAAAGCAAGCAAACTACAAAAATATTTCCAAGTCTTTGTGGGAGGGAACTCTTTTAATTAGCAGAAAGCAGTAATCGAATTCCACGTAAATCCATTTTGTATCACGATTTAATTGTGAATTACGTAAAATTCAATGAAATCGTTGCATAAACGCCTTACGTATTCGTAGTTTACGCCTTACTGTTCACCCACTCTACACCATGCTCTCTCCCACCTCCTCAGATAACTGAACACACAAACAGAAACACAAACACATACACATACACATACACTTACACCCAGCCCAGGCACAGAGCCGTGCCGTTTTTCGTCAATTTGTTTTGTTCCACATATTCGCTGGGCCAAACAAACCATTTTTATTTACCCTGTGTGTGGAAAAGAGATGGAGATGCAAGAGAGACTTTGGCGGTGCGGTTCCAATCGTTCCAGAGAGAGCTTTACCCCTCCAACATACTAGAGAGAGAGAGAATGAGAGTGAGAGGCGAAACGCATCTGCTTGCCATTGCCTGCACACGGCTTACATTCCACTTGTTTTTGTTGATTTTATAGCAAGGTCATTGGAAAGCGATTTCTCCTTATAGGATGTTGACAAAGATGCTTATATACAGGGTGTCTGCTGTAGGGTTTTAGGTGAAATAAGTTGCTGGATGTGTGTGGAAAGTGTTACATTTCATTGGGACTGTGTTTGCATCATAAAAATCGAATACTCGTCAAGCATTCACAATAAAAGATTAGGAATGCGCCTTTGAACACTTGTCATACTCGCATTTTGCACACAAAAAGTCCCGCACAGTCCTTCATAAATAACGCGCAAAATAAAAAGCCACAGAACAAGAGGAACGGAACTTATCACGTGAATGCGCTTCACTTTGCCACTGGCATTCCAGCGTGGAGGGGAAAGAGTGCACAAGAGGCTCTCGCTTTGGCTCTCCGCCTGTGTGGCTCTCTTCGTGTGAAGAAGAACGTTATGAAAACAGAAGCAGCAACAAAAACAAAACAGATTTGTTGAATGAAATTTCGCTGAAGCCAGAGACCGAACGGAACCCGAAGCCATACGAACCCGAGGCGCCATCTAACGGCACCAGAACCGAATGGAGGGGGCCGCCGCCTATCATGGAGAACAAACACCACCCACCCGAAGCTGCTGCCAATTCATGAGGTTCCGCTGGGTGCCGTTCAGTTCAGTTTCGAAGTCGACGCGATTGCCAACAGAAGACCGCGACGGAGAGTTCGAGTACCCACTCTGTGGTCTAGTCCCCAACTAACAACTAACCTAAGACCCGACTATAATCGGTGTGCTATCTACATACCTTTCCAACGCTATCTCCACTATCCGGCTATCAGTTTCGAAGTTTAGACTCCGGGCAGTGAACCTCTTGGCAGAGCGGCGTAATATCATCAGATTGATTCATTATAGGGTAATCGAAGAGATAATATAAGCCAAAGTTTTGATTGGTTTGCACATTGAATGTGTGTATGTCCATCGAAGTGTGGTGTTCTCTTTTTTTGGATGGGTTCCAAGTGCAATTTTGTGTCTGTGGCTGGGTCCGAGGGCCCGCTGCAAGACCCCCAAACGGAGTCTGTTATGTCACTTGTGGTAACAATAGTTGCAACTGCTAAAGACTTTAATTTTTCAGTAAGAATATGATACAAGAAGCATTCTTTGGTGCATGATAAATATGAATCAAAGTCATTTGCTTGGAAATTTGATAGGGCAAATGATTGTTTCCCCATCTGATATAAATTTCACAGCTGTCAAAGCTGTTTAGTCCAAGGGAATCTTGTGATTTCATTCATCCAACATTCACCAATGAAAATATGGCTTTAAAACTGGCAATCGTTTATTGAAATATCAAGTCCGAGGAAATTCACTCACTAATGAGGGCCACCATACACACATTTGATGAAAGCCGACAAGTGTGTGATGTTGGGAGGGTTAAAGCAGACATTAAGTACAGGACCCTGACCCTGGCGCCAAACAACTTATTGGCATTTGACCTCATTCAGTCATCAGACATCGTTTGTGCAATTAATTGCAATTAATGCCACGGGCTGGCAGAGAGGTTAAGAGAGGTTTCGATGGGAGAAGTTGCACAAAGAAATCCATGCAGAATCAGGTTAATTATACTCGCTTATACGCCGCTCTGCCAAGATCAACAATAATCATGGCCATTGTTTGCTATTTTTGAAGAGAAAACTTTGAGAACTTTTGAAAGTGAATAAACAAATCGCGCAAATTACTCACATCGCCCGCCCCATTGAACGGCAGCAAAAAGACACAAACAATTAAAAGTAATAATTGGCAAAGAGCTACAAGAAAGAACATCTTAACAGCCAGATAATTGTGCAAATAAACGGGCGTCCAGAGGCGCACTGAATCTATAAATACTATAGAGAACCACTAAACAGAAGACACCCAAACGGAAAGAAAGAAAGAACGCAGAGCAACAGAAATGGATCACAAAGAAATCGCAAGTCAAGTGCGAGGTGAGCTAAGTACGGACATCAATTTCGATTATTTAATACTTGCTACAATATTTATCATTCTTTAATACAATCTTTGCTCTAAAAATACATTTGATTTAAGCAAAAATTTAAAGACATTTCACACTTCAAAGTGCTTATGGGGGGGGGAGCACTTTTCCACTTATCTGTCAGCATGAATATTTCCATAATCTTGAACTATATTTAACATTTATTAAACGGTGCTGCAGCAGATTAAAAACTTAATTTCTGCCTGCCTATCGTGAGTCTGAGTCGTGTGTTTGCGCATTTCTATGGCGGTGCTAACAGAGCACATGATGTTGTGGATACATCCAAAAAATTATCACTGGAAATCTATATGCCATGCATGTGCACAATGTTTAAACAAATTAGAGCAGGCGCAGCCGTGCAGGGGGAACGGGGATGGGGAGCTGAGAACCGGCAACAAAGGGTCGTGTCGTGTCGTGTGTCATGCCAAATCACCGCCGCCTCTCCGCCCACACACGAAGGCAAACACAAAAACAAATACAAAGAAAAAGAACAACGCGAATGGCATTGCCAATCTAATCAACACGATAATTTTGTATGTTTGTTATTGCAATACGCTACCAGAGGGTGCTATGATTTTAATCTAAAGTGTGCAACTTTGAACATAAAAGATCTTTTGTTCATCGAGAAGAATCCGTCTGTCCCTGTGCTGTTTAGGCACTCACTTTATGCCAAAAGTTTTGACTGATCAAATCAGTCATGAAGCTGCAAGGGTATCAAACACTTTTTACTAGTTCACTGTTGTTTGCATATTTTACTGATGATTTGTTAGGAATTACCACAAAGTATCTTATCGCTGGCACACCAAGCAACCAAGTCTACTATTGTTTTACATGTTCATAACTTTTATGATTCGGCAGGGAGTCCTCCATGTTGTTTATCGCCTTTGGTGATTGCTGTTCGATTGGAGCACGAGCGGAAGCACACATTTATGGCGGTCAGTGTGTGTGGCTGTACAATAAGTACGAAGAGTATTTCCAACACACACAGAGTGGTGCGAGAGGGGACACTCGAACTCCTACGCCCACTTCAATTTGACACGTTTGAAGTGCTGAAAAGCGCGCGCGAAATGTTCAAGCATCCCCCCAGCCCTTTGTTACGTATAATTCAATTCTTGTGCCGACATGAAAGGGGATGGGGATTAGCATGGTTTACTGTCAGGCAGGCTATTAATAGATAGCAAAATTCGCAGTGCAAAAACATATAAAAAATCGGGCCATAAACCAGGGAAAAACTTCCGCTTCTGCGGAGATTCAATCGAGGTCAGGGTTAGGCGCAGAACACCAAAATGTGAACACCAAAGGTTGTTTGGGCTATAATCTGAAAGGTTACATGGCAATAAATTACACATAATATCTGCATGAACCATAACCTTGAACAAATTCCAAGATGAGACCAACAACAGCAACACCTTTCCTGCTGCCATAAGCCACAACTCATGGCCACTCTGGTCTATGCATACTGTCCCAACAATTCTTGGGAAAATCTTCCCCTTCTGCCAATATTCGTACGAGTGGGTGCATGTGTGGGCGGATTGGTAAAGTTTCTGCAAGAACTTTCAACTTTTAAGCGTTATTTACGGCAAGTGCAATTTAGTGCCCCGGGGTGCCATGCCCTGGCCCTGGGCTTGGCTACGTTTTTGGGCTACTGCAAGTGTGTTTCCAAGTTTGTTTTTCCAACTCAATTACATTTCACTCCACAAATGAGACCCGGGGGAAGGTGCCGCCAATGTGTTGGCCCTAAAGAGCCAACGGAGGGCAATGCAATGCAATTATCAAGTTCATTGACAACGAAACAAAAACCCAAACAGACAACAAGGAGCGAGAGCGAAACAAGAAATGTTTTAACGACAAAGTTCTATGGCTTAAATGCAGCAGCAAACAGGGGGAAATGACTCACATTTCAGACTCCCAGGGACAGTGCTGCTGTCCCTTCAATTAGTTTCCTTGCGACACTTACAGATTGCAAACTTTCTGCCTGAGCGCACTTTCAGCTTCGCCTTGAGGAGGAGAGGACAGAAAGGTCTTTGTCCTTAGCTAATATTGCAATTAAAAACTTTTTCTTGCCAACACTGACTTGACATTTGCCACACGTTTCCATCTTCCATCACTAATTAGTGATGACATTTTCCACGCTGAACAATCGATAAGCGCAGCCCATACAACGCTGCAACAATAGACAACAATTCGAATTTATTTGACTACAACTTAACTAGATGTCAATCACTTGGACGCCGGAATATGGGGGCAACCTCAATATGTCCCGCTGACACCTGTCAGACCTGTGTCTGTGCCTGTGCCTGTGCCTGGCAATGCTGCAGACGCTGCAGCGTGAAATATTGGTGTCAATGTGTCAATATTTGATGAATAAACACGTGTGCAATTACAAACTATACAAATGCAAAGCCCACACACCCACAGGCACCCACAACTCGGGCCACTCGACAAAAGCCAAGGCAACGGAAGTGCTCCACATTCTGTTCGAGGGGGGGAAGGGCGCAAAAAAGCGATAGGGAAAAGAGGCGTCGTGGCCGAAAGCAATTTACATGCAATTTTCGCATATCTTCTTGCCATCTTTTATGCCAGCGGAAGCCATCAACGACTTTTGAGATGTTTTCCAGTGGTTCACCTTTAAGCTTGTTTCTCCCCCCATCACAGCTTACGTGACCCAAATGGCAGAGTATTTATCAAAATTACGCAAAAAGTTAAGCGCGGTTGGCACAAAATTATAAGTTTTGTGGCTCAACGTTAATATTTATTGGGATTTTTGCAGCCAGCCAACTGCAAGTTTGATCGATTTGGCATTGAGTTCAAAAAAAGTCAGACGCAGACAGCAGCAACAGCAATTTTGTGTGGCCGCAAGGCATTGACTGAGGTCTTGTCTTGGCATGCCACAGAGAAGGCCGCGACAAGGTCTTAATTATTGTGCAAGGCCTCGCCTGGAATGAGAGTTTAAGCCGTAGAAAAACACACACCAAAAGGGAGGGACTGCCACCCCATTGAGCTATGTTTTTCCCCACATTTTTATGACTTTATGAGTAGGAGCTAAAATAACAAACATTAAGCAGGGTTTCCCTCCTAGAACATGGAACGTGGGTGGAACTTGTTCCTGTATCCTTAGAAACTACGCATTTCCACAGCAAACAGTTTTTCCTTTTTGCCTTTAATATGCACATAAATACTGACTTAAGTTTTGCCCATAGTTTGCCTCGCCCACACGACGCATACGTAATGTTGTGGTGGGAAACCACACAATTCCGACAGGCGAAATGCCAGAAATCGCTGCTTGATTGCACTTTCCGGGATATGCTTGCTGCATTTTGCCATTTTCGTTCTTAATTCGAAATGTTTATTTATTTATTTTATTGAAATTTATCTTTCAGATCTACGCACAGCATTCGATTTATTAGACAGGAATCGTGACGGACGCGTGACGGCCAACGAGCTGCAGTTTATGCTCAAGAATCTGGGCATAAATGTGCGTGATGAAATCATACACGATCTCATACGTGAGGCGAGCCATTCAGGTGAGTGTCACTCAACAGCAAAACGGCAACAAAGTGTTTGCCGTCTCTCTGACAAAAAGCCCACCTGTGGACAGCCAAGTGCAACAGTTAGGCCCTTGGTTGGTTGGTCTGCCCGGTCCGCTTTAATAATTCAAGCGACGCTGAAAGGCTCTGGCGATGTCGGACTGTAAACGTTAATTAAACTCAGCCGAGCATGTCAAGTGGTTTTGCGGGCATTTAATCAAGTTTAGACTTGGCCAGTATGCAGGTGAAATGTAATACTTATTTTCTCATTTTTCTCCTTTTTCTCCTTTTCCCTTGGGCATAGGGCAATATCAAAGGAAATCCCAGTTGAATCTAAGGGCAGCAATAGGAGGAAGTTATTTTATTGAATGTGGCCCCAATAAGTGTGCTAGCAACTGTTGGAATACCCTTTCCAGCTGGAGGTACTTTATTGTAAAGGTATACATAAATATTCATTGAAATTCTGAAGGTTCCTAGTAGACTTTCAACTTGTATTTGATTTCCTGACTAGCTCCTCTTATTCGCTAAGGAAAAATCCCTTTAAAGAGCATCTTCGAGTCAAATAAACTCCACCAAAACATTTCTTTTGATTCCTATATTGTAACAATATAAAATACATCCGCCTTAAGCCAATTTGTTGCTGTCCCACGCCGTTCCGGAAGTTTTTCTTATTTAATTTAGCCGTTGGAAAATGCAATTGACTCTCTCGGCTCTTGTTGCATTCTTGTTTAGTCTATGGAAAATGTACCCCATTTACTTGTTCCATGTCAGCTCGCCTCTTACTGCTGCTCGTCGCGTTTCGCATACTTAAATCAAATTAGGGCAACCTGGCAGAAAATTAAATTTTTCCCATTAATATGCAATTGTTGTCTAGTCGAATACGTGTGCCTGTCAGTTATGGGACACTTAAACAGACATAAATATATACAGATATGAAGAGTACATGCATCGTGGAGTGCATGTTATGGGCGTTGCCTCAAGTCTCATTTGTGCCAAGCGTCTCGGCGGCATATTGAGTTCCATTTAAGCTCCATTTTGCTTCAGGTAACTTCAATATTTGCCCAATGCATTAGCAGTCTCATCGATGGGGGAGACTTTGCCTGCAAATGCTGTAAATTTAAAGGAGGTCACGTACAGTGCAGCGGAGCTGGGGCACACGGACATTTATCATATATAAAGCAGGCAAACTGTTGCTGACAGCCACAGCCACAGCCACCGCCTTCTCACAGTCAGACAGGCATTCGTACACAGAAGACAGGAACAGAGCGAAGGGGGACCGACCGAGCTGTTTTGATGACTGCCACCGACAGACAAATGTTGCGGCACCAACGCCCCCAAGCTTTGTATGGACACACACATATTGTATGTCCTCCTGTCTATGGATATCCTTTAAGTTTATCTAGAAAGACAGGCCGCGAACACAGGCAGCGACACGTGCCCGAAACACAATAGAAAAATATGTTCAAAGTACTGATAAAGGTTCGACTTTAGCGTCTGATTGTTGTTCCATTGTTGTTTGTTGTGACAAAAGCAGACTTGGCAACACTATCGATCGCTTACCAACACTAAGCTTATCAACAGTTGTCAACACTGTTCTTAAAGTGAGCAGAGGGAATGCTGTACATTTGTGCCTGTCAAAGGCAGGCCTTTAGAGATATTTACCCCATTTGTATGAAGCAAAGAAGAGTTTTCCTGGAAGTAAATATAATTCTATGTCTGTGGAAAATATTTAATAACTTGCATTGGCCTCTCACAAACCTAACTGGCTGCACAAATAACCCGAGAAGTGGCAACAAAATGCTCGAGCAAGCCCTTAAACAAAGACAAACTTTGCCTTTGCCTTTGTCTCCCTGTTGAAGTTTTTTGTTTGTTTTTTTTGATTTCGATTAGGGCGAAAGCGTGCACTTTATGGCTTCATTAACATTCCATGGGTTTCAATGACACCACCCAGCGGCCTGTCGCCCTCTGAGGCTGTCTGTCTGCTCGGCTGTGATTTGGAATTTCTGACGCTGCTAAATGGACACCTGGCTGCGGTCGGTCCTTATTTATGCGTGTCTTTATGGGGTCCGTTGAGCATTCAACAGTTTTTCTTTACGGCTTGCCGTCTCCTGGGGGTCAAGTCATTTGTGGTGGGGTCAGGTCAGGTCGGTCGCACAGCATTGATAATTTATAGCTAAAACTGGACATTGGTCGACGCTTAAAAATAATTGTCAATGCTTTTAGGCTGCAATGCAATTAATTTGAGGATTGCCGGCAGCTAGCAGGAGATTCTCGTGTGGTAGGCACAGAAGTGGCAGCGATTTTGTGGTGTACATAAAGCCATAAACGACAGCCGGGAGGAGCCATTAAAATTTCCTATTTGGCAGTGGTTAGTGTGGGAGTGGAAAGGAGAGGCCAACGCCAGGCACTGTCATGTTAAATTAGTTTGCCCCTGGCCACTGGACAGCCGCGTGTGTGTTGAGTGGAGACGGCAGCTCGAAAGCAAAACACATTTCCCATTAGCAACAACTGTCGAGGCAGCAGGCCACTCGTTCAAGGCCGATATCGAATGGAAATGGAGCTCTAATCGAATCACAATGAAGAGGCCAACGGCAAAATCTGCATAAATGGCAGCAGCCCACGCCCACGCCCCCGCCCCAAATTAAATACAGCTTAAAATACCCAAGGAAAAGCCGAGAAATTCCTTGAGCATTTGCCGGCCAAGTGAAATGGAAATGGCAAATGGCTGCCAAAAAAGAAATGCCCCAAAAGGGCAAAAGACATGAAAGGGAGTGAGGAATGCCCAGAGGGTGTGGGTGTAGCTCTGGGGCTTGCAGCTAAGTTCAAAGTTCAGTTTGAGCCTTGAACTGCATTCCAGCAGCAAATGTGTGGAAATCCCTTCAGAGCGTAACATTGCGCATACGCAACGTTGGCCAGAGGCAGATTTAATTAATGGCCAAGCAGCAAGGTAATTTATTTGCCATCACAGACAGGCAGTCGCCAGCCCTCTAACCGCTCTCCCTCTCCCTGTGTTTGCCAGCTTTTATTGCATGTTTTACTACCAGCTCAAATGTGTCCAAATTACACGTGCTCAGAGGGTGCGGGGTGGAGGCCAATTCCAATTCCACAAAGCAACAATCAAAGAGGAGCCCCACACACACAGCCACAGGCCCAACCCACATTTTTCCTCCCCCCTCCCCCCTGCCGTGTGCCGTTTCAACTTCCGTTTCCGTTGGCATGAGGTCAGCCGTGGCAGCAACAGAAAGCAGCAGCCAGGCCAGCCAGCAGCAGGTACATTTTGCCAATAATTGATTACACTTTGGCCTGAAGTTGTTGCCACACAACAGCACCTGCCCCGGCACTGGCCACTGCCTCTATTTGGCATTGATTTGTGCCCGAAACAGATGCACCAACACAGTGGCAGCCGCAGTTGCAGGTTGTCGTTGCCCGGCAGCGATGAGAGGCTAATCAACAGCAAATGGATCTGGGATTGCCCAGAGCTGATTGAAAATGTGAGCCAGGAATAGGAGGTGGGTGTGCAATGTGCAACAATTCAGGAATGTTTATGGTCTAATGCTATCGATGAAGTACACAATTATCGATCATTTGTGGCATTTCTAGCTGCTTTAGCCCGTCGCTTCCATCGATCAATGCCAAGTTTCTGGAATTTTTGCACTTCTCTGCTTAACGACTCGAGCAAGCAGCAACAGAAGAAACGAAGACACACATGGAATATAATAGGACTTGCTGCATGCAGGAAACATTTCGGTGGCACTGCCCAAAATGTGCCACACAAAAAGAATGCCCCCACGCTCTCTGCTGCCCGAGAATGTTCTTGTTGCAGATGGAACGACAAAACGACGACAATGTCGACGGCAGCAGCAACATCTACAGCTACAGCTACAGCTACAGCTACACAACAGAGTCATTTTCATTATCCTTGGAAGGCAGACACAGAGGCAGAGCTAGAGACCCAGAGATAATGTGCAGCGCGAGCAAACATTTGGTTTTGTATTAAAAAAAGAAAAGAAAAGAGGCGGAAGATACGCGGAAAAGGAAAACATCTCAAGGCTAAAGAAGGATAGGCATTGCTGAAGGAAGATGAATCTTCCGCCAAGAGCACACACGGAAAGACAGACAGACTTGATCAAGAATGCGGAACAGCTCCTCCCCTGGCAAATGACAGGCAAAGCTTAGGGCTCAAGAGGTTGACGGGGTTGCATGCCGGCCGCTAAGCACAAATGAAAATATTTTTCAAGCAGCCAACACAGAAATGTCACACAGATGTCAGAGGAAACAGCAGCAGGAAGACCAGCAGCAGCAACGTCAGGAAAATGGCAAACAATGAGAACGATGACAATGATGGGTGGTACGAGTATGCCGACATATGAACAAATATTCCAAGCAATCATCATGCCATATGATGGAATAATATTTGTACCAAGTGCGGAGTTGTGTGAGGAATTTGTTATGTACATTTCCGTAGCGCCCAAGGCGCAGGACACTGGACACTGGACACTGGACACTGGACACTGGACACTGGGATGTGCTGCTGTCGCTGCATTGTCTAATTGATGTAAGAGTCCCGAGTCCTTGTCCTCGTTCAAGTACGGGCATTGGGTTTTATGACCTTTAATGCTTTTTTGATGGCAAACCAACAAGCAAATGCCACTCAACGGCTCACAGCCAGCAGTTCGTTTCGTAATTGCCCACATATCTACATTTGACCAGTTCTGGCCTTCATCTTCGCTGTCCCTCCCTCTCCCTCTCCCTCTCCCTCGTTCTCTCTGTTGGCCTTTAGCTGACACTTTTCCTCTATTGTTGGCAAGGCAACGGGGTGTCCAACTATGCCAGAGATTGGATTTCACTAACAAGCTAAGCACAACCCTGGAATTGAACGGGAAAAATCGCCCAAAAAATGTGGGAAAATCTGGGAAAATATAGACCAAAATGCAGTGTGCTTGGCATGGAAATAAATGTAATTGGATGCGGGATTACTCTTCAAAGAGCTAAGCCCCAACACTCGGCAGGGATTTCTTATTTCAGATATAATTAAATTACTTATGCCTAATGCTGAGGTTTTATTTCAGTTCTTTTTTTAATGACAAACAAATTAGCAATTCAAATTTCGGCTACGCAGCCCCAAAAGACACACAAACCACACACAAATTGCAATTAGAAGTGGAAATTTTTCTCTAGCCAGCTCTAGCCAGAATGATAAAAGAAGGCAACCATTCCCCGCTCTCGCCGCAGACCAACCGCTTGGCGATTGCCGCAGAGATTATCGCAGATTTCAACTTCATTTTCATTCCCATTTACACCAACTGTTTCCATGGTATTCCCTTTCTCCGCTTTTGCCTTTTTCCCCACTGGTTTTTCTCTCCTTTTCGTTCTGTGGCAAATGTCAAGGTCGTGGACATGGCTTCAAAGGTTTTCTTTGGCTTTGGCATATCTTTGGCTCTTAATTGTAAAAGTTTCTGCTAAAAGTCCTGAAAAAAGTTATCTTCCCTTTTTGTAGGTTCTGGCTCTAGGATTTAGCTTTGGATTTTTAATGCCAGCAACTGGAGACACTGCACTTTCTGGGGCAGGGAGTCCTTTCCTATCTTGTCCTTTAGCCATAATCTTGCAGCGTGCAAACAAGCAAAGAAAAAATGCACTCAAATCTCTTTTTATGTGGAAATGCTTAGAAATTCTCTTTCTCTTCTGTGCCTTGCTGTCACACTCTCTCACTCTGCATCTTTCGTTGATACAATTACAGGAAATGGCTTAATCAACGAGGCCGAGTTCCTGCAATGGGTGGGCAGAATTCAGGCGCTGCGCGACGACCAGCAGCAGCACGATGCGAATCCCAGCAACAGCAAGCCCCTGGACGAGGCCGATGATGTCACCGAGGATTTGATAGCAGCATTTAGGTGAGTTTATCCGTATATCCGCTCTACAAACAAATATATATATGTTAATCTCTTCGTTTAGAGTATTCGATCGGGATGGGAATGGATTCATAACGCGCGACGAACTGCAGACCGCCATGGAAATGATTGGCGAGCCTTTGAATGAGCAGCAGCTGGAGCAGCTGCTGGCCATTGCCGATTTGGATCAGGATGGTCGCATCAATTACGAGGGTAAGTCAATGCAGTCGATAAAGGACATTGCTGACGCAGTCAAGCAAACCCAAGGACACACACAGTGAGCCACTTATAAACGCCACAAAACGGCGGCACTGCCAGAGGCTTTGGCTCCTGTTGCCGCTGCTGCTGCTGCTGCAGCTGTGACTGTGACTGTGACTGGTTGCGGCTTTTTCTGTGGGCCCTAATCAAGTCTTGCCATAAAATATAACCTTGAGTCAATATTTATTCGAGCCCCAACCCAAGCCCAAAAGTATTCGCTCATAAATCAGCTAGACAAACGACAAAGTTTATTAACCTGCGCCCAGAAGGCGCTTAAACTGAGAGAGTAAAAGTCCACTTTCTTGTTTATCTCAGAAGTTTTTATGACCCTTTACTGCTGCTGAATGTAAGCCAATACGAAAACTTTACGAATTTGTAGTTAAATATCGGAATAACATCCAGAGCAAACTCTGACAGCGATTCTTATGCTTCATATTCCATCTCCGTCGAGTAGCCCTCCCTTTACACCAGCGGAAACACCTTTAAGCACTCTCTCTTTCCCCTCTCCCTCTCTTATTTCTCTGTGGTAGAAAAAAAGGCAGCACAGCATTCCCTGGGGTGGCACTAAATTGGTTTAATAAACTTAAACTAATACTGCGGCATGCACAAACACGCACAAACCAACAAGCTTTGAGCTCGAGTGTTCTCTGCTCTAAGAGCGTGCGCGTGTGTGCATTGCTTTTTATGAGTAAGTGTGTGTGTGTGTGGTCTGAATTCCCTTGTAGTGTATCATTAGGTTCATATGCCATCGCTTTAGCCCAGTTGATACTTTGACCTTGTGCAAGTAACGCATTGACATGTCAGCACACCCATCCAGCCATCGAACGAGTCCGCACCCGCACCGCCAGCCATCTGCAATTTATTTACTCTTCTTGTCGCTGGGATAAGCACTCAAAGGAATTCAGCTTGGCACTGGCAGCATTAAGACAGGGTGTACAGGATTTCATAACCTGATCCCAGCAGCAAAGGGGAAACCTTAGTCAAAATCTAGGGTACTCCATAGTCGGAGTCTTACTTTGGCTTACTTTTTCTTTGGCTTTGTTTTGCTGTACATTCTGCTGACACTGCACTGTGCCGGCGGATTGGCCACGTGGTGGACCCTACTCGAAGTCGGTGCTCGCAAAAGTGTGACAGGGAAGGCGACATTTTGTGTAGTTTCGATGTATCATCCATGAAAGCATTTACAATGGTAGAGAAGTTGCCAAGGCGAATGATTCCCAGTGATAAATATTTGTCCTCAGCGTTGCCAGACCACTTTTCCACCTAAGCTTTAGCATAAAAGAGTGAGGTTATGTTGGCTGCTTGACATACATTTTTGCACTCATCCATTGTTCTGGCCCAGCTGCACAGCAATTAGAATTAATGGACAACAACTTTTTTTCCATCTTGATTTAATTACAGAATTTACGAGACTTTTGCTGTAAGCAATTTCAGCCCACGAATGGAGGCATGGTCAGCAACAACAAACAAAAACTTAGAAATGGAAAACAATGGGAAAAGGTTAACCATTTAACATATAGGCATATACACAAGTGTTAAGCTATTGTGGATTATACTCAGACAAGCGGAAAACTATTACTATGAGAAAGAATGCAAACAAAAAATTACTTAATATTTTATACAAAAAACTAAATGAAGAATTATATTTACATACAAAAAGGCGTGGGAGAAAGTGCAAGGCAGGCCCATACACACACAAACACACCAACCCAACACACACACACACACAACATAAATTAGTTTGGAAAGTTTTTTCGATTGTAAAAAGTAATAATATTCATTTAAGTTAATGAAGCAGGAAAACCACCAAGAATAAAGTGGAAAACTTTGTAGATTTATTTTTGTAAGTTTTGTCAAAAAATGATTTATAAATAATACACACAAGAACACACAAAACACACACCACACACATTAAAAAAAACAAAACGAAAGAAAAAACAGAACATAAATATTCATATTCGGATAAGTCTGAGAGCGTGAGTGATATTGTGTTTAGGGTGATGGATGCATCAGCAAGGGGCATGCATACATAATAATAAAATTTAAAATTTATAATAATAAAAACTATAAAGTGGTGAATCCCATATATTTGTATCTTATTAAATGTAGTTACATATGCTGCTTTCAATGTATGCGTGTTTCAAAATCCCCCAACAAAAAGCGTTGTTTTCAAACAGTTAGAATAAGCAAATAAATGTTAACAAAATTTGTATAAGAAAAAAGTCCACAGGAGAGAACTTATTTCAGTTGGGAAAAGTAAACCCTTTGGAAATGAAAGAAACAACAAAATTATATTTAATGTTAAAGAAGAATATATTAAAAAAATATTTTATTCATGCAGCAGCCCAATTTGAGGATGAAAATTGATGAATTCAGTGAAAAATCTAGTCAAATTAATTTTGCAATTATTTCTTTGGGTTTCTGTTTATACGATTCCAGGCCAAAATCCATTAAAAGTCCATTACATATTGCCGTCCCGGCTTAGCCATAGTTCAGAAAGTAATACAAGTAATAACTTTTTGTTACACCACAATTTCCACTCATCCATACAACGTGAAGGTTTCAAATTAGTTTTGTATTCATTTCGCATTTCGCATTTGCCCATTTCCTTTTTGATAAAGACAGAGAGGAAAAAACTCAAAAAAATATTTATATTTCAATGATTGAGAGACAGCAAATAATGAAACATATTAATCAGGTCAAAGGTACAAATAGTCGAATGGGAATTACAAGGATAGAAAAACACACACATTTTTTTAGTGTATTTACAAAAACTGGACAACTCCAAGAGCAAGCAAATGAAAAGCAAATAAACCGTAAATAAACTCAAAATCAAACAATGAAGTTTTCAAGTTATTAAACATCTATATTCTATATGAAAGATCTTTATGGATATATACCCGATCAATGTCTTTGATTCAACTAGTTTTTTAATGAACTCTAAATGTGCTTGGAATAATCTTATGCAGGACTATGTAACCCAACAATATACGAGTACCAAAACTACTTAAATATCCATTTGCTGTTTACGTTTAATGTCAAACTATCAAATATTATATTACAACTACTACAACTATATACTGGACAACGCAAAACACACATGAAGTAAGACACTATCTATATGCTAACGAGTACTTAAAGCGGTAGATGTTTCGTTTAGGTATTAATGATTTCATAATTTATTATAACTACGAATGCGAGATGGCTGGCGATCGAGATACGATTTAATAAACTACGGTAAACCAACGCTCAAAGAATGTTTTATTCCTTTAAATTCTTTGGATCTGGGTAGGCGCTGTCAAGCATGCGCTGGAAATTATGAAATGAAAACGAGATTCAGTCACAGGGTTTCCTTTGAACCATAAACAACTCTACAATACAATTTGCAATTTAACTTCAAAAACCATAATGAACAGACAGGAACAAATGGTGAGTTACAAGGGGAAAGTGGTTTTGTTTTTGTGGAGTGGCTGCAGACTTTGGCGCGTTTAAAATTGAACCTTAGCGGTCAGTGCGCAAAAGCTCTAGTGCTTTGTAATCTCGAAGTGCTTTCCAGTGTGACCATTTGCAGCACATTGCACACTCTACGGTATATTTCGGGTATTATTTGTGGGTAGATTGCCGCGGGTTGGTCGGTATATTTGATCGATAAAACCGCGGGCACACCGAACCCAAATTCACGAGGCCCAAAATAAAATCAATTTTTCACGAAAACCGAACGAAAATTTGTGTTCAAACTCAATTAAATGCAAGTGAGAACTGCATTTAAGGTCCATTGTCAGCGTTAAAGTCTCCCTGTCCAGTGTGCATAATATATAAACGGGTTGCGATCACGTTACCCAACGATTTCTCGACGTGTGTTAAAATAAAGCCGCAAAGTGGATACCGAAACTGTGAAAATCGAGGATTTGATGGACTCTGATCCTGAAATTGAGTTCATTGAAAAGGATAGCGGGATGTCATCGTTAGGCGGCAGCAAAGACGAGACGCCCGAGCGTCGCACAGTGGCCACCGTAAGTAAAAACGTGGTTCCCATTGCCAATCCCCTACGTCTTATCGTGCTCACGTAATGGCCGCACCGACCGACCCATCGACCTGCACGCCACCAGCAGCAGCTGCCACAGCTGTTGCCCGTACAAAAGCTAGCTATAAATATATACTAAACATACTAAAACATTGACTGGTAAACACTTTCTAATTCAGTTTTTATCTTCTTTGCAGAGCGTCCAGCAGCCTGCACGCGATGGCGAGGAGAATTTCGATGATGTAAGTTAGCGCATGGCGCATGCTGATGTTTGTAAACATGCATCAAGGCTCTGGAAGAGCATACAAGCTGTAACATACTATAACCTCAATCTTTCTCATCCTCAAGGAGCCCGACGAGACGATCGGCGAGCGCATTCTTGGCCTGACCGAAATGTTTCCCGATTCTGTGCGCAATGCTGTTGCCACCGTCGCCGGAACCAGCGTGAATGGCTGCAAAGGTCTCTTTTCGTTCTCGCGCAACGCCGCATGGATATTCTTTACAACGTCTATCATTATGTTTGCGCCGATAGTCTTTGAGACTGAGCGCGCCAATATGGAGGAGCTGCACAGGTCGCAGCAGACGCAGGTGCTCCTGGGGCCGAGCAGTGCCATGGCTTCCACTGGGCCAGCGCCCAATCTGCCATTAATACGTTAATCTATTAGCAATTAGCTCTATATCCAGCTGGGGTCCGTGTTCGGGACGCGTTTAGCCTAAGTTTATCAAAATATCAACCAATCAATCCCAGTCGCAGGCAAAAACGAAAGCCATGCCCCTCCATAACACACCACAACCCATAGCAGAACAGACACACACACAGCAAGCGCCTTAAGCATTTACGATGCCTCCCACTTACCCTGCAGCATTGCGAGTGGGTTGGAATGGCCCCCAAGAAAATAGTCCACTAAAACACCTCATCGATCGGCATCCTCTTCGAGCAGTTGCGAACAATTCTGATAGGTCTTAGATTCGTAGTTGACGTTTCAAAGTGTGAAAAAAAGGAACAACTACGATATAAACAAATTAATAAAACTATGTTTATTAATAGTTAAACGACAGCGACCACTTCAGGGACTGCCCAGGTGTTCGCGCGGTATGGGATGTTCTGTGAAATAGCGACGAAACTCACCGGCATACTTGTTCCGCAGCGTCCGTTCGCCAAAGTCATTAAAGCGCTGAGCCAGGAACACGTACACATCCAGCACCTTGGAGTGGGCCTGCAGCTGCTTGAAGGACTTGGCAGCGCGCTCCAGTATGTCCAGCGACTTCATCAGCTGAGCCTTGCGCGCCTCCACATTGTTGGGCGTGATGGCCAGCAGGCAGCGCACAAACACAAAATCGGTTCTGGCACGCTCAAAGATGCCGCCGTTGGTGTGAATGTCGTGCATGGCACGCTTGATGGCCTGGTAGGCCTTTTGGGGCAAGCCAAGGAGCAGTAGCTGCTGTGCCAGCAGCATATCGACCAAGGCCAGCTCGTAGTCCATCTGTGAATCGGCCATTTCCTCGGCCACACTCATCAGCAGCATTGTCGTTTCGCTGGAGAAGCGACCCTCGGCCAGGCCGCAGTATCCCAGCATCACCTTGATGCGCATACGCTGTAGAAACGGCAGTTGGGTTTGCGTGGCCAGATTATCGAGCAGGCGGCGTGCATTGAAGAACTCTCGCTTGGCCACATAGATGGAGGCGCGCTGCATCAGGGCATCCGATTTGTCCAGCAGATACAGCTGGTCGCAGGCCTTCAGGGCATCGTGCCAGCGACACTGATAGATGCCCGCCTGTATGATGACATGGCACTGGCTTATCATCCAGCCCTCGGCGCTGGGCAGACGCGGAAAGCGGCTCCGGGCGCGATCCAGCAGCACTCGCGACATCTGTGGTTGGCCCTGCAGCTGCAGCCACAGCGCATAGCTGGCCAGGGCACTGCCCAATCCGGCCGAACCATTGCTAAAGCGATCCCGAGCAGTGAGCAGCAGTTGGGAGTACAGGGCGGACAGCTCGTGCCTGCCATAGGCGGCCCAGACGGCGCTCCTCAGCGCCAAAGCCTCAGAGGCGTGGTCCACGAAATTGTTGCGATTTGTGAGATTGTCGCTGTGGTGGAGCAGATCGAACAGGCGCAGCGGCTTATAGCCGGCAACTGTGCCCAGCTTGACGGCAAAATGCAGCGCCAAAGTGTAGTTCTGCAGCAGCGAGCCGTCCACTTCATTCGCATCGGACACACTGCGCTGCACCGTGGACAGCGGCAGCTCGTCGCGCAGCAGACAATACCAAGTGTTGGCTAGGTTGAGGCTGCGCTTGTCCCCGTGCTCTTGGGCCAGCATGATGCTCTCCCTGAGCGCGGACAGTGCCTCATCGCGGTGCCCGAAAGTGGCATGCAGCACGGCCAGATTAACGCAGAAATACTGATAGCCCTTCTCCTGGCTCATCAGCCGCACGGGGCTGCGGTCCAGGGCGCGATGCAGAGCGGACAACGAGGTGTAGTAGTCCCTCACGCGCAGCTGGTTCATGTAGCCGAGAAAGTAGGGGGTTGTCGTCAGCGGCAGATCCTCTATCATCTCTTGCACCTTTCGCTGCAGCTCCACGGGCGACAGGGAGTGCCGTTCATTGGTCTCCAGCAGCTCCGACTGTTTGTTGATGAAGTATTTGGCCTGCTTGGGTGCCCACTTACTTAAGAGATTGCGCCCGTCTGGACAGAGCGCCACAGCATCGTCGTTCTTTTTATCGTCCGTGCCGGACTTGTCCTGGACAGCAGCTGGCGGTGGGGTCTCCTCCCTGTGCAGCACTCCGCCGGCAACTGCCTTCCGTGGTCCTGGGCCCGAGGCCATGGCACGCACTCCACGCTCGTAGAACGAGCAAATGTTGCGATACATGTCCATCATGTCGGAAAAGCTGAGCCGCTCCAGGACGACGCCCACGCGTCGCACATAGACGCCCACCATGCTGAACTGGCTAATGCCATAGTTCTCATTCAGAATCTCGTCTATGTTCTGGATCTCTGCAAAGTCGAACAGGGCCTCTATGCTGCCAGCACAGAACTCGGACATGGCCTTCTCGAACGCCTCCAGCATCAGCTTGTCCAATTTGTAGCGCCCTGTGGTGAGCAGAGCGTGCAGCTCGTCGTAGCTCTTGTCTGCCTCCTGGATTAGCTTGAAGATGAGCATGTAAAACATGCGCCGCTTCTGCGGACGCATTGAGATGCCCGTGTCCAAGCATACCTTCTTGTTCTGCAAGAGAAAAGACGCAAACAAAAGTCAACTTTGTGGCGGCGAAACTTTGTTAGACAAACTCACAATTACATACTGCTTGAGCAGAATTAGGACAACTATCTTGTGGGCAGTGGGAGATTCTATGCGCGACGGCACCAGCTTCGAGGTGGGATCCAAGGTGTCCAGTTCATCGTTGAGATCTGTTGCCATTTTCGAGTTGTTAAATTTGTTTGGTTTGCCGGCACTGTGGCCGCGGGTTTACCGATAAAATATACCGCCTGATCAGCACAAATATACCTTTTCAAATAAATACCTAAATATACCGTATATTCCACCATTTACCTCGATTTTGATATTCTGCTTAATATTACCGGCTAATTAGAATTCTCAGCACTAAAAATATAATTTTATCTAATTTATTACTGAATTTTCCATAAGATGAGCTAGTTCTCATGACTTTATTTTATTGGTTTGTTTATAAAATAAGGATCAAACTCAAAAGGTCAATTCCCTACGGAAAAGAGAGAAAATAGTCTAGGATATTTAAAAAGCACGCATATGGGATATTTGATACCCTATGTTCTATTATTTAACTTGATGCAGTCACCGCATTGTACACCCCTAGCTCAACACGTGCGCCTTGAACGCTTCTTCGCAGAAACGAAATAATCAATTATTGCCCCAACCGAACTTCCCACTTGATCAAAGTCCAAGTGGGAAACTTACGAAAATTACAGACACAGGGTAAACATACTCTTCCCCAATATGTATTTCTGCTTTAAACGAACGAAAGCACAAAGTTCATAAATCAACTACACTACCCGTTAAATGCTAACCAAATGGAATAGGTAATACAGCGTCGAGAACTGCGAACGCAATGAATTGTGGTGCCATTTACAGGACAAATGGGAAGATGGAGCGGCGCTGCCGGGGATAATCCTTGAACTCCTTCTTGTAGTTGCGATGCTTGGCCAGGGCCCAGACGCTCATCTGGAAGGCGCCAGCGAAGGCAAACAGATAGGCGGCCAGGCAAGATGTCATCACCGAGTAGGAGACCCAGGCGCCAATCTCGTAGGTGTAGTTCGGGCAAGAAACAAGGCTGCAAAGCAACAAATTTTAGATAAAAATCGACCACTGAACGTGCCACGCAAGGACTGGCACTCACTTGAACAGCTTGGTCAACGGATTGGCGTCGGCGACTGGAATCCTGCGCACCTTAGTGCCCGGTGGGCGCAAGTTACGCAGTGCAATGTGAATGGAGAAGTTGCCCAATTCGCACAGCTGCAAGAAAGGAGTTATTAGTAATCCTGTTGGACTACCACGTAGTAGTGACTACTCACAGCGAAGGCTCCAAGGGCAGCCCAGACGGTGCACATGCAGGGCGATGTGTACAAAGGATGGTTGACATGGTACGACACATACGCGGTGAATCCCCAGTAGTAGGTGCAATTTTTGAACAGATTGCGCAACGGCATTGTGGCATGCGAGAAGCGGTGCACGAAGATCGTCTCCAGCAAACGCTTCGCATAGTGGACAGTGTAGCAACCGGCGGCGATACTACAGAAGATTGGGGAAAAGCGAAACGAATGAAAACGGGTTAATAATTATGCATTCGGGTAAAAGCAAACCAATGTCTGGGCTTGCCGTTTGGTCACTCATCGCTTTGCATAAGCGGCCCTAGTCGCTGTTGGGTCAATCAGGTCGTATTCAAAAAAATACAAAATCGAAAGATGTGCGGCGAAAGTCGCACCGAAAGGCACACACACACAAACACACACGCGACGGTCCACTTACTGGGTGGTGAGGGAGATCGGTATGCTGGCTGCCTTGCCGTAGACTAGTTCCGGGCGGAAATAGAAAATCAGATACACAATCAGGGGCCCGGCATACTCGGCCAAGAACACTGTCTTCCATCCAATCTGGGGTCCCAGGTCCTTCACATAGATCTTGTCCCCACTGCGCAGCGACAGCGACTCCACGGTGTCCGTGTCCTTCAGGCTCTTGCCACGCGCATCCAGCCGCAGTGACTGGCGGTTGGCGTCCGGTGTCTTGTTCAGGCTCTTGTGAATCAGGGCGCGCAAATCCCCAATGGGAGTGGAGGCCGTGGGCACCTTTACCTTGCCATAGGATTTGCTGGTTTTTGCACTGAGTATTTCGAGCTCCATTTTTTTTGCGGCCGTTTGCGAAGTGACTAGAAAATTTGTGAAGGCTGATTATTGACAAGATATACTCTGAAATATACTGAAATATACATTGTTATTTTCGTAATATACCGTAAATATACCCAGGGAAATGATATTCCTCAATTTTGATATTCTCATCCATTTTACAAGCTATTTAGGTCTCTGAGCACTGAGCATAAAATTTTTCCAGATTCATGAATCATTAACTGAGAAGGGTAGTCTTTTTTAAGGTCTGCTTTTATATTATTCCTCATAAGAAAAAGTATCAAGTCAAAAATTTACAAAAATGCCCTTGTATTTTACATAGTAACTACACGAACCACACATTTGAACAACTGGACCGATCCATTGAATATTTCCTTTAATAAATGCTGAAATTCTGGTTTCATCAGATTACTAACAGAGTTGCAAGTGTGTCACACACTATATTTATAAAGAGGTTAAGTAGTCGTTGCTTTTATTTTCAATATAAAACCGATAAAGTTACAATAGCCCTTACTCCACACAATTTTCCAGGCAAGAATTTTTCGGAAATTCCTGCTTTTAAAACAAACAAGGGCCTGAAAGGAAAAAAAAAAAAAAACACAAAGTTGTCCACAAACTTGCAAAAGTGTCAGGGGAGCGTAATTGGTAATTATATGTGAATCAACCGTTAGTTTAATATTTGCTGTACTTAATTTTCCATACATTTTGGGTATTCCTAAAAGTGCTTTAGGGAGAAGTGCTTTTGATCTGCAAAGTCTAATTAATACAGATGAACATAACAAGCCTTGAACTAACTTTCAACGATATTTTTATTGTTCATATAAAAAATTGCATGTTGTTTCAGTTGTTATCCAGGTCTTGTCTTGAAATTGTCTGAAAATATTTTACTTTTTAATCTGGTGAGTTTATACAACTCTATCTGACAGTTCGTCTAATACACGGCGCTGATTTTATTGTCAACTAAAATAATTTGACTAAAAAGTTTTCTAAATCAGTCAGTGCGGTCAGGTCTCATTCGACTCACAGTGCTTCACAAATAATTTACGAAACTCAAGTATCTAGACTATCTGAGGGGCCTCGAATTTATTGTCAAGCTAAATTTATTTGATAATATTAGTTATAACCAGTACGGTTAGTTTTCGTAACAAAGTTGAGTAATTTTATTCTGTGGTGAGTTTATTTTTTTAATATAATATTCTCTTGCGCTGTGGGTATCATTTAAACAGAATATCAGACTTCTCAATCTATTGTCGGTTCCACAATTCGGTAAACAAAGACCAACCTAGTCATGAAATAAGTATGTTTACGGTATATTTGGAAAATGGGATCAACTATTTTGGTATTTTTTTTGTTAGTAATGCTGGGGTTTTGATCAATAAGTCCGCGGTCACACTGTTCACTGAAAATTGAAAGATAAAAGCACAGTTCGTTTGTGGAAATTGCAGAAAAAAACAGCAGCAGAATTTAACAGCAGATACGTGTTCTTTGTTGGTGAAGAGAATATTTTAAAAAGAAAAACTAAAGAGTTTAAAGACAAACGTAAGTTTCAAATTTTGCTTAAATAGTTGTTTAATGGTTTACGAGACAAGCTGCAGTTTTTTCCAAGGCCTCGGAACAAAGGTTTTCGCAGCCATTTTTTTTTCTTATTCAGCCCTCTTATGCACTTGCGTATTTTAAATTTAGAATCTGGGCTGCAACGCATTTTCGTAACTAAACTTCCGGGAAAATAAACAATTATATAAATAGGTGCTGCGTAGATGTCGTTTCTTAATCAGATTTAGCCAATTTCTTGTGAAATTTTGCTGTGACGCCATTTCAAAATTCGAGAAGTCTCGCACAATCATATGTATGACACACGCAGCCCCTTTTGAATGAGTATGTGTGTGCTGTGCTGATGCTTTACTTAATTTTTCTTTCGTATTAAATGAATATTGTGAAATCTAAGTAAAGTTTAAAGTTCGAGAAACCTACGCATTGGCCTTTGTGTGCATACATATGTTTCGAAATTCGAGAAACCTACGCATTGGCCTTTGTGTGCATACATATGTTTTCATCTGTACAAATGTGTAGCACTGCTGCTTTCTTTAGTCCATTTTTTTCGTATTGCAACAAATATTTCCCAATTCCCAAATAAATTGATTTCATATTCATATGTACATAAATTTGATGTGAAGAGGGTTGGAAAAACTAGTCTAGCCTCCATTGCTTGCACATCTTTGACGTCACCAATGCATACATACACAATAAAAATGCATACACAGCTGTTTCACAGCAAATTGGGTATGGACCGTACTTTAATTTCGTGCCCTCGTGCGTGATCGTGCCTGTTTGGCAATAATCGTGCTCGTCCACTTTCGAATACCACATTTTGCTCGTGCACGAGCCCATACGATTTCGTGCTTTCGAAACTCTATTCGTGTCCATCTCTAATAAATATGTATACCAAGCCACGACTACCGAGACGGAACAAAGGTATCACATTTTTTCCTTTGTGTCTTTGTTTTGTCGAATTGAAGAAGTAACCTTTCACCCCGGAAACAAAGCATGCCAAGATAATTATCTCCAATACTTTCGTCTTGAATTAAAAATTGTTTGTGTCATTGTCCCTCTTCCCAAACACAGTTGTTTTTAATTCAAACATTTTTGCATTTTCCTTCGCAGAATAATACAAAATGCAGATCTTTGTGAAAACCTTGACTGGTAAGACCATCACCCTGGAAGTCGAGCCATCCGACACCATTGAGAACGTGAAGGCCAAGATCCAGGACAAGGAGGGAATCCCCCCAGACCAGCAGCGTCTCATCTTCGCCGGCAAGCAGCTCGAGGATGGCCGCACCCTGTCGGACTACAACATCCAGAAGGAGTCGACCCTCCATTTGGTGCTGCGTCTCCGCGGAGGAATGCAGATCTTTGTGAAGACTCTGACCGGCAAAACCATCACCCTGGAGGTTGAGCCATCCGACACCATTGAGAACGTGAAGGCCAAGATCCAGGACAAGGAGGGAATCCCCCCAGATCAGCAGCGTCTTATCTTCGCCGGCAAGCAGCTGGAGGATGGTCGCACCCTGTCGGACTACAACATCCAGAAGGAGTCGACCCTCCATTTGGTGCTGCGTCTCCGCGGAGGAATGCAGATCTTTGTGAAGACTCTGACCGGCAAAACCATCACCCTGGAGGTCGAGGCATCTGACACCATTGAGAACGTGAAGGCCAAGATCCAGGACAAGGAGGGAATCCCCCCAGACCAGCAGCGTCTCATCTTCGCCGGCAAGCAGCTGGAGGATGGCCGCACCCTGTCGGACTACAACATCCAGAAGGAGTCGACCCTCCATTTGGTGCTGCGTCTCCGCGGAGGAATGCAGATCTTTGTGAAGACTCTGACCGGTAAAACCATCACCCTGGAGGTCGAGCCATCCGACACCATTGAGAACGTGAAGGCCAAGATCCAGGACAAGGAGGGAATCCCCCCAGACCAGCAGCGTCTTATCTTCGCCGGCAAACAGTTGGAGGATGGCCGCACTCTGTCTGATTACAACATCCAGAAGGAGTCGACCCTCCATTTGGTGCTGCGTCTCCGCGGAGGAATGCAGATCTTTGTGAAGACTCTGACCGGCAAAACCATCACCCTGGAGGTCGAGCCATCTGACACCATTGAGAACGTGAAGGCCAAGATCCAGGACAAGGAGGGAATCCCCCCAGACCAGCAGCGTCTCATCTTCGCCGGCAAGCAGCTGGAGGATGGCCGCACCCTGTCGGACTACAACATCCAGAAGGAGTCAACTCTCCATTTGGTGCTGCGTCTCCGCGGAGGAATGCAGATCTTTGTGAAGACTCTGACCGGTAAAACCATCACCCTGGAGGTCGAGCCATCCGACACCATTGAGAACGTGAAGGCCAAGATCCAGGACAAGGAGGGAATCCCCCCAGACCAGCAGCGTCTCATCTTCGCCGGCAAACAGTTGGAGGATGGCCGCACTTTGTCTGATTACAACATCCAGAAGGAGTCGACCCTCCATTTGGTGCTGCGTCTCCGCGGAGGAATGCAGATCTTTGTGAAGACTCTGACCGGTAAAACCATCACCCTGGAAGTCGAGCCATCCGACACCATTGAGAACGTGAAGGCCAAGATCCAGGACAAGGAGGGAATCCCCCCAGACCAACAGCGTCTCATCTTCGCCGGCAAGCAGCTGGAGGATGGCCGCACCCTGTCGGACTACAACATCCAGAAGGAGTCGACCCTCCATTTGGTGCTGCGTCTCCGCGGAGGAATGCAGATATTTGTGAAGACTCTGACCGGTAAAACCATCACCCTGGAGGTCGAGCCATCCGACACCATTGAGAACGTGAAGGCCAAGATCCAGGACAAGGAGGGAATCCCCCCAGACCAGCAGCGTCTCATCTTCGCCGGCAAGCAGCTGGAGGATGGCCGCACCCTGTCGGACTACAACATCCAGAAGGAGTCAACTCTCCATTTGGTGCTGCGTCTCCGCGGAGGAGTCAGCGCCTAATTTTGCTATATTTAAAATTAAACAGCCTAAACCACACAGAACTAATTATTTCAAGGCTACACATTCAAGATTTATCTGCAGCAAACGACTGTCAATTTCAGTTTAGATTCACGCCTCAGGACCAAGGCCGGTATCCTTTTTGTGACCACTTTTCCCCGCTTAAATTGTATTCAAAATTATCCATTTAAATTAAAGACAGCTTAATAAATTAAATTGTTCATTCCGTTTTAATTCATTTAAAATAAAGATAATTTCGTGCACTGGTTTTAAATACTAGACTTTTAGTATTTTTTTGCATTATGAAACGCGCTTAAGATTTTCTAGTAACAGTCGGTGGTATTTTCCACAGAAACGCATTAGGAGATTTCTATAAAATAAATAAACAGCAATAAAATACATTTAAGCAACAATGGCGAAATTGTTGCAACGCCTGGAGGTGACGCTTCGAAGTTTTTATGTTTTCAACTCGAACTTTGGGGAGAAGGAAGGCGAGGTGAGTTGAAATGAGCCGAGTCGCAAGCAACGCCCACAAATGAGTAACATCCGCAGGAACACAAAAAAGTCTTGTACTATCATCCGAACGACATCGAACTGAACACGAAAATAAAGGATGTGGGCCTCAGCGAAGCAATCATCAGATTTACTGGGTAATTCCCGCGATAGCAGTATCTCCAGCAACCATTAAATGGCTGTCTTTTTCAGCACCTTCACCACGGAGGACGACTGCAAGGCGCTGCATACGCAAAAGACAACACAGCTCTTTTACCAGCCCGAGCCGGGCTTCTGGCTGGTTCTGGTGCTGAATGTGCCCAAGGAAATACGGCTGAAGGAGGGCGTGGAGGTGGCCGACTACCGGGGCGGCGAAGTGTCCGACCGCATCTACAGGGCCGTCCTCCGCCAGTGTTATCAAATGTATTGCTTTCAGCATGGAACACTGGCGTCCGTTGGAGCTGGCTTAGAGCAGGTCGATGAGCGCCGCGAACTGCTATCCGAGCAACTGCTGCAGTTCTATGAGAAATATCTGACCTGCCTGAAGGATCTGGCCCACTGTGATATCATTGACATGCTGCATTCCATCCAATACCTGCCCCTAGACAAGTCGCTCTTCCTGCGGGCGCACAATTTTGGCATGCTGTGCGCCACCTTTCCGGTGATCAAGCAGAGCATTATGTTCTACAACGAGCAGATCGTCTGCGGGGGCAAGCTCAGTGCCGGCGATCTCTACAGTCTTCATGCATACATTGTCCACAATGTTCTAGCATTGGAATCAAGCGCATCATCTGCCGCCACGCCAGTGCTAAAGCGCAGCATCAGCGAGTGCCAAGCGAGAGGGTTCGTACGCTGCCAGCCCGACGATGCCCAGGAGGAAGCACCACCGCTTACGGTCTACCTAACCATCGAAAATCAAGTTACGCCACATTACTTGCTCATCTATCGTGCTCTACACATAACCCTGTGTCTTTTCCTCGATGGTGTGTCCAGGCCCCATCTCTTATTTCTCCTGTCTAATCACTTATTTCGCTGCAGCCAATGAGCCTGCTCCAAAACAGGAACTCTACGATGAGCTGCATGCCTACATTGCGCCCCAGCTGACATGCCTGGCCCGTGATATTGCCAGCGAGGTGGCAAAGGAAGCTCTGGCGCATCCTGTACCGGACAGCGGCTCAGCGTCCAACGAATCCGCACCCAAATATCTGTTCATCAACGAACAGAGCCTGCAGCACCACACGAACCTACACAGGAATGGCGTGCCGCGGAACGTAATGAGCGTAATTGCGGATCTGGCCAATCCCGGCGAGCATTTGGATGTGGCTGCAGCTGCGCCCACAGAGGAGCTGCAGGTGAAGACCACCAATGACTATTGGATTGTGAAGCGGCGCTGCAACTGGCGGCAGTACTATGTGATTCTGTGCAACAGCAAGGCGACCCTTCTGGACGTGACGCAGGAAGCGAAGCGTATATTTGAACAGGAGCTCACAGATGATGTATTCTTTGACAAATAAATAGCAGTATGAGGTAAACGAAGGGGGTACGCCAATTGTAGTGCCGCTGCCCCGATCCTGGCCGGCGCTCCTGGTATTTCCGGCAGAATCTGCACGTGGAATGGGCATTGGTTGGTAGTTTTCACGCCATCACCGTGGAGCTAGAGCCAATGTTATTGCCCTCAGCCGCATCGTTGTAGGACGTGGAAGACGACGAGCTGCTGGTGGCTCCATTCTGCGTGTGCGTCTTGCTCAACTTTACGACGTAGATGCGGCGATTGGACATGCAGATGCTGTAGTAGTGCTGGCCGTAGTCAATGGTGATCCTCTCGCAGCTACTGTTGGGCATAAAATCCTCATCGATGCTGTAAATAATAATAAACAAGGTGATAATCAAGATTACGTGGGTGGCTTTAGCACTTGCTCCAACCTCTCCGTCAGATTTAGAAGACCCATTATCACATTTGCACTGCGCACGTCGTTTTTTAGGTCCCCACCCGAATCCAGAACGCCGCCATCGTCCTTCATTATCAGGTATCCAATCTGATTAGGAGCAATTATCTTTTCTTTATCCATTTCAAAATGTTTTCCACCCACACAAACACACCCCAAAACAAAGTATTTTAGTATTTTTGTAAAATCGAATCGATAGTACCGCAAACGCAAACATCGATGAGCACTATCGACTACAAATTTTTACCGTGCGGTTCGCGTGAATATCAGGCGCTGCGAAAAACTAGAAAAAACTATTTAAATCAATAATTTAATTAATGAAACAACTGTGAAACATTACATTAGATATCAGAAGTGTAAGTTTTCAATAAATTTCTAGTGATAGCCCATGGATTTATAGCTATAAGTTAAAATTGAAAATTTGGTTGGTGTGCAAAGTGAAAATTTTTCGGGTCAACGCCACACCCTCTCATTGAGGCATTCTTATATCCAATTAAACATGGGTAAATGTGAGGGAAAAGTTTTGAATATTGTTAAGTATATCAATGGCAAAATATCGAGGATACAATTATTCTGGAATTGTTCGTATTTCGTACAAAATTATGTATTCCAATTGAAGTTGAGAAAAAAGTATCTATGTATGTAGTAGCTTCAGTTTTGTTTGTGTGTGTGCATGCGTGCAGGAGTAGAAAATTCAATATGTGTGCGTGTATATGTACGTCATCGGCTGGTGGTGCGGCAACTTCAGCCGAGAGAAAGCGCAAGAGAGCCTGTCATGATATTGTTTGTGTGCATGTGAGAGCGTCCAAGTACGAAGAGTAATGTTTTGCCTTACATTTGCCAAAAAAACCTGTTTTAAATGGCAGTGTCCTTGACTTTGCTTGAAGGCTAATTCACTTAGGATATTTTAGCCCCATTGAAACAGTTTGTTTGTGTGTGTGTGGATATAGTACAGCTCAGCCTACAAGTTCTTTTGGCTAAAATATTTCGTGCTTGGCAATCATTGCTCATAATTCCAAACCGTGAGGATTACGTCATTCCAAGCTATTTTCTGATAGACACTTCAATTAATGTGAACACACAAAACACACACACACATATATGGGGTTGCTCTCTTTTCAAGGGGGTTCGCTCTCTCGCACTTGCTGGTTTTTTTGTTGTTGTTTGTATTTTGTACCGCGATAAACAGTTAAATTGCCTTCAATGCTATTTGTATGTGTGATGTGTTTGCTCATACTTTTGTATGGCTGCTTTCGACATAAAGAGAGAGTGAGTGAGAAAGAGACATACAAAAATGTACGAGCCTAGCCTAGGGTTTTTTGTTGTTATTTCCTGCCCTGCTCTCGGGCGTGGACCTACCCTCTCTGTGTGTGATTGTTTTGTTCACGGGTGGAAATGATGTCACTGGCTTTAATTAATTAAGGCAGATTTTTGCTTTTTGGCCTCTTCCATTCATATTCTGAAAATGTTAAGTAATCGTAATCGAACAGTAATAAATTCCCTGAAATATCCCAGATACGCTTATCAGAATTTCCCAAAAGGGAGATTTTGTGTACAGTAGAGGGTCGTTAAATGGGAACATTTTATATCTAAATTTAGTTAAATGTTGCGCATTGCCTGTACAATATTGTGATCTAAGGAAATTTCTTTTTCTATACTCTATTTATCTATGTACTATGTCCCGTAGACTTATATACCCTCTAACATATTATGTTTCAAAGAAATAATTTGATACCTCGTAGTGTCTTTCGTGACTTAGTTCCTTCTGTTTCCCTTCCTACGCTTCCTAGTGTATGTGACTCAATCAACATCCTCAAGAAAAAATCCTTCAACCTATCCACAAAAAACAAAAATGTAAAACAAAACAAAACCAAATCCAAAAATAGAAACGAAAACCAAACAAAAGCCGAGCGTGTACAAGAAAACCATTTCTCTTCTCCCCTCTTCCGTTACAGGAAAAGTGTGTGAGAGAGAGAGAGTGAGACCATTACAAACGCGAGAGAGAGGGAGGATTGTGTGTGTTTCTGACAGCTAATATAAATAGCTCGAGCCTCCGTAATAAGGCCATGTCCCTAATGTCAATTTAAACGACAGCAAAGACCAGGAACAAAAATGAACAGATTGGAAGAGACTCAGCTCCAGCAACTGCTGACGAATCTGGAAAAGATTTCCCGTCCGCAGTTGCCACAGAAGTTCTTGTCACTCTTCAAAAAAGGCCAGACTTGCAGCTTGGAGGATTTTGCCGTGTACTTTTTGGCTGCCGTGCGCCAACATACGGAACAGCATTTTCGAGGCAGCAAATCCGACACGACACCCCAGTGTCTGACACCTGTACGACAGCTCAAGCCGCCGCCTGAGGACTCGCTCAACGAATCTCTCACCAACCAGAGTGCAGCCAGTGCCAACTCCTCGATGTGTACTCCAGGACGACAGCAGCAGTCGCAGGGCCGAAGGTCCACAGGCAGTGGTCAGTTTTGCAGCACGCCGCAAAGCGCGAATCGCAGCGGAGGTGCAGCTGGTGACCGTGGCCAAAGCTTTTGTCTGGGCGATTTTCTGTCTAACACGCCGACCCAAGCCCAGCAGCGATCCACCAAGAAGAAGACCACTCCTCAGCAGCAGCAGCTGCAACAACAACAGCAGGCAAGCAATTCTGCTGCCCAGGCTAAGCCCAGGCGACGTGTTCTCCCGATGACTATAAGTAGAAACGTCTCGGCCAGCTCGTCCTTTGGCGACACCAGCTCCTTTAGCAATGACAACAATCTGTGGCGCCTCTCGCAGTGCAGCGAAATTTTCGATTGCAGCCAGGGCGCCGCCTTGGACATGGAGGCACGAAAATCTCTACTCTTGCACAAGCAGGAGATCAAAAGTGAAGCGCCCGTCAGTGTGGCCCCGGAGAGAGGACAAGAAGATGAAGGGACAAGTATGCCGGATCCGGTCCCTGTCAAGCTGGACGATGTGAAGAGTCCCGGCCAGCTGCAGGTGCTCTCGGCCATCTATGGCCAGCTAATGGACCTCAATCTGGTGCCGAATGTGCTGGGGGAGTTGGGCTTTGTGCTGCAGCTGCTCAACGTACACGACTCGGATGTGAGTCCGAGTCAGTCGGTCAAGGACTTGGATCTGGGTACGCCACTGCAGCGACTGGGCCTCTACCAGAACTGCATTTACTTTGCTCTCCAGCTGCTCGAGCACCAGCAGTATCTTCTACTGCAGCTGGACAGGAAATCACTCGGCGTACTGCTGCAACATGAGCGCCTGGGTCTGCTGCCACAGCCGCTGCTGCAAAAGTTGGATGAATCGTGCCAGCGTAAGCAGGAATTGGCCAAGAAGGAGATTACATCCTCCTCCCTGACTGTGGCCTCGCCTGGGGGCCAGCAGAATGTCTACTACCACGAGGAGAAGGATTCGCGCGATAACTTTCCCAACCAGAATGAGTTTAGGGCCTTCAAGTCGCAGCGTGATCTCTTCTATAAGACCTTCAAGCTGTGGGAGACCAGTCACCTCAATCGGGTGTTCTGCTTTAGTCGAGACGTCACGCCACGGGTGAGGGAAATCTTCAAGGTGTCGGAACATGCCGTGAACATGGCCCACTTTGCCAAACTCTTTGTCAGCCAGCTGCTCATCTCTGGCAGCGAGACAACCGAATCTCCGGAGGAGCTGGGCCTCAAATTGGACCAGCAGCGACTGAATCGCCTAGCGCAGAGACTGGTGACCTCCAATTCCAGCGTTGAGGATCAGTTTCCCCGCTCGCAGGCTTTCTTTCGCGACTTTATCAGCGAATGCGTCTCCATGCCGTTTTTGGTGCAGCTCAAGCTCGCGCTCTATGTCCAATTGGTGCGACAAAATGACTCCACCTTCGAGCTGCAGCAGCTGGCCGAGGATGTGGTGGAGGAGGAGCGCGCCTCCCAGCAGGGTGGACCCTTCACTGTGCGTGCCCAGACGATGGCTAATATACTGACTCTGGCAAAGTTTCTCGGCTATGTGACGGCCCTGCCCTACAATCGTTGTGCCGGCCAGCCGCAATCGTATCTCTGCCAGCAGCAGCTGCAGCTGCGCAGCCACTTCCAGCCGGATTTTAATCTTCGCGAACTCCTCGAACGCTCAATGGCAAATGGCAAGCTGCTGATCACTCTGCCCTGGCTGGTGCAGTATCTGGTGATGCTGGACCTGGTCACGCTCCAGTTGCCCAACTCGCTGGCCACGCTGGAGCTGCTCTATGCCCTGTATGCCGCCATGCCGGCAGAGAAACTGCAACCAGGTGCCGTGTTCATTGCCAGGACCTGTCTGGGTTGGCTAATGGAGGCACAGCCGGATCTGGTCACTGGCTACTACAGCCACAGGGCCCTGGAGGCAGCGGGTTTGGGTACCGGAGCAAATGCAGCCATTGTCGAGACCTGCCTGAGCACATTTCGTTCGTTGAAGGCAGCTCAGTTGCCGCAAATGGAGGAGCTACTGCCGGTAGCCTGTCCCTACCTACACGAGTTCCGTGTCAGCATCACGCCCTCGCGGCAATCCCAGAGCACTGGACGAAGCGGCCGTTTCCGGTACATAACCACGCGTCTGGAGCAGCTCACTCAGAGTGCAGCTGCCGCCACGTCCTCTGCAACGGGCCATCCGGCGGTAGTCGCGGTGGAGCTCAGCCCGGCGGAACAACAGCAGCGGAAGCTGGCGGATGCCTTCCTCCACTCGCAGAACGCCTCAACGCGACGCCTCATCGAGTTCGTGACGGAGCGCAGCTTCAAGTGCGTGGTAAAGGATGCCCAGCAGAAGATTCTGCTGCCCTCGAAGGCAGCGGCCGATAGTCGGGTCAACGAGATCAGTTCCATGCAGTATCAGGAGGTGTTTGGGAACATACAGGAGATCTATCAAGAGACCAAATCGCAGGCCTGCCAGCACTGGGCGGACCGAGTGCCGCGAATGCTAAAGGAACGCATTGAGCAATCGCTGGAGGCACTGCTCCCGGAAAGCACCAACGAAGTGCTGCGAGCAACGTACGCACAACTGATACGTGGCCAGGCGCAGATTCAGCTGCAGCAGTGGTTGCAGTCGAACGTGATGCAGTCCAGCTTCTACCACGGGGATCTTCAGGAGCTGACGTCCAAGGTGTGCCGCGCCAACAAGAACAAATTGGAAGCAGCTGGCAGCGGC